CAGTTTTATTATTTATACTTTGCATCTGCCCTAACATGAATGGAAAGTTTGTATTTCTAGATTCTTCTTATTCCATCATCTATCATCTTTTTACTTTGTTTTTGTCTTTTTTCTTTTATCAAATTCATCATAGATGTTTATCAACTTCCTTGTATGTAGTAACTTATTTTTCTATTCATTTGTTGTGTAGTAGGATTTTTTTTTATTTTTCAGATCACACAATTCTATGTTAACACTAGTTCGATCTGTTTTCATTGATCATTAGAAACTTTATTATTTTATACAAGCTTTGTGCTCCACTAACTAGGTACTAGAGTATGGTTTAAGATTGAAACCTTGTTCATTTATTTCTTGGTCCACATCATTGAGGGAAGAATCAAATTTAGAAGATTTGATTACATTATCCATGCAAAGTAATATTGTGAACTACTTTGCCTAGATAATTAAAGGATGCCCTTCACGCTCATTTGCACTTGTGTTTAATGCTAGACAGTTGTATAACATGTTCATACATTGAAAAGTATACACACAAACCATCTTGATTTGTTGTGAATACTGATGACTGACTTGAGTTGTCACTAATGCACGTATGCCCATTCTCAAGGAATGTGTGAATGTTGAGTGAGACACAATCCCTACTTTTCATTCTCATGAACCTGGTTTCTAGTCAATCATGGCCTCTTATTATGGTCCATTTCTAATTCACCTCTCACTCGTGGATAATGAACAATGATTTTTCTATTAAGTTCATACGTTAAACTTTCAAGCTTTACACCCCGCATTTCCTTGGTTCATATCTATTATCCTATTCTAAATGGGGTTCTCTCTCCAGAATGATTCTTTTGTCATTATTTTTTTAAAAAAACACGCCATGCCATTTAAAAGAAAATAGGAAGAGAGGAGTGGAAATGTAAATAGGAATCACAAGATACAAAAGGATATTAGGAAGAATGTGGGACATGACTAAATCATGTCTTTAGGCATTCAGGTGGATAGGGCTTGCATCAAACTCTATATGTTTATCCTCCTCAAATGATAGTTCGATCTTTCGGGATAAATAGATCATATTACATTTATTTGTTTCTGTAGTTTTCCTTCTCAATGCCTGTTCAAAATTTCATCGCTTTGAAACTTAAGTTTACCATCCATTAACTTATAAAATGAAAATGATTGGTTTTCCTTACTCACAAGGAACCACATATTTTCTAATCTTATGCGGTTGTAAAGGTATTATATATTATGTACTCATGCCTCATCATGATTGTCAACACTCTCTCTAAAGGTACTCTATCTTTCTAAGTTTAATTGAGGACTTCATAATCCTGAAAAGCTTGACATAGTTTTCTCTCTTTGGACAACAGACAGTGACTGAAGGATGGAAGATGGTGGCAACGGCAATGGAGGGTGAACAAATGTGGCGGACGGTGAGTGACAGTGTGCAGACGTTGAACAACGGTGGAGGTCGGCGGCAGTGACAGTTGGTGGCAGCAGATAACCGGTGGACGACGAATGATAGTGGGCTGACAGCGGATGATGGCAGATGGATGATGGATGGTGGTCGACGACATCTAAAATAGATGGATAATGACCCCTCACGGCCTCTCCTCATAGAGTGATGATAGGTGACGCTCACAGCCCCTCCCTCGTGAAGTGATGAAAGATAAAATCTCGAAACGATCCTCGTGTATCTTGGGTTGACAAACATCTTCAGCGCAGCTTTAGCGCATTGGGTCTGTGATGCCTGATAAAAAAGAAATATTTAATGAAAGAAATTACTCTTTAATGGTCTTGGACTGATGTGGTGGTGGTGGTGGTGGTGGATGGTGCCATGGTTCTTCAGTCCTTCTCAGCTCTTGTTTTTATCTCAGGTTGCCCGTCCATGAGAAACCAGAGAGTCCCCCAGTCGCTTTTGCTCCAAAGTATTATTCTTCTGTAAAGATCTCCCTTGTCGAACTGCCATCTTCTATGGTTTTAGTTGTTTCAACATGGGTGCAGTTTCTTGGCGCTTGGATTTTCCAGAGTCTTCAGCATGATGATCGGATTATCTCTTTCTAGTTCTTGATGCTTAAATTCGGTTTCCTTTCCCCCCTCTTACCTAAGAGAGCAGCTGCAAGTGGATAGAGTAAGAAGTTTTGCTCGAGAGGCAGTCACAAGCTTGTGTGGGTCGGTTGTGAGCCTCGGTGTTTCTCAATATTTGGGCCGTTGACGCTTCTTCATCAGATGATCTCAATATGTGCGAGGATGGGTCGCAAGGTTTTTTTTTTCCAAGATTTGTCGTCGGTATTGCGGACGCCTTAACTATGCCCGAGCAAGTAGGACGGAATTAATTTTTTTCATTTTTTAGTTTAGCCTTATGCATCATGAAAAGACTTTCGACCAAACTTCTGAAGATTACAACGAACCGTTCTAGCGGACAGGACACCTACTCTCAGTACCGCAGTCAGGATGATCTCTTCGTTCGTACACTCAAAGACTTTCATTCCCTTTCGTGGCAGCTTCAGGTCGTTGTTCTGCAAACGGGGAGCCGTTCTCTCCCTCTAACCGGAAATCTCGTGCACCTGCTCAGGTGACACGTGTGTCGGAAAACGACTTTTCTATATATACGGATGTTTCTTCGGCAGATGATCTCCGCATGTGCGGGGGGATGGGTCACAAGTAATTTGTTTTACACGATGTATTAATTGTGCCCGAGCCGGTAAGTAATAGGAGGAATAAAGTTTTTTCATTTTTTATTTTAACCGTATACATCGTGAAAAAGACTTTTGAGCAACCCTCCGAACTTGAATAGAAGAGGACAAAGAATCCATTCTCGGGAGCAGGAGCAAGTACACTCTGTAACCCTCAGGATGATCTCTTCATTCGTAGCCTGGCCCTCGGGGGAGGTGGCTTTCTTTCCCTTTCGTGTCAGCTTGGAGGCATTGTTCGACGTATGGGGAGGCATTAGTTCACTCCAACCAGAAGTATCGTCCACCTGCTGAGATCACGGTCTGAGTTGCGTTGACTCACGTGTGTGTGGGAAAGCGACTTTTTTATTCATGATAAGCAGCGGATAAGACTGGCGGCTGCACAACGACGCGCCACAGGGGCGCGCACTCGGTCGGAAAAATACGTCCCACGTGATCCCGTTGTCGGCCATGCAGAAGGACGCCAGGCACCAAAAGCATCCACGAGATGACGCCGCGGCAGGGCGGCACGCGGGCCAGGCTCTTAGGCGTGCACGAGGAATTCAGGGGGTGGAACTTGTAGTTGAAAGTATAGATAAAGTACGGAATGAGAAACTGGGACGACGGATGATTACGACAGTTTTTCCTTGTCACAGCGAAGGGGATAGGTCGAACACGGCGTGTACTTTTACGGGGAGGTGTTTATGCACGTGAAGTCCGCGGCCAGGGCGGGGACGAAGGGCGGCGAGAGCGTTCCACAGGGAACAACGGAGAACCCTCAGAGGAGACGCCGGTTGACGACGGAGTAGGTCTTGGACGGCGGCGGTGCGGTGGGCTCCGGCGCCGCAAGGGGCAGCGTGGGAGGGTAGGAGTAGCCGCCGTCGTGTTGGGTCTCGCAGGGGACGATATGGATGTTGGGGCAGTAACACGGGGGCGTGGCGAAGAAGGCGGCGCACTCCTCTGGCGACTTCTGCCGGGGCAGCCCGGGGATGCAGTTGTTCCTCACGTTGAGGACCTCCCGATAGATGAGCTTCTACCTCTAAGTGAGCTTCTCAGAGTCATTCTAGGTCGTAAGAAAGTACTTTAAAGACCAAGTGTGTTTTAGAAAAATTGTCTAAGGTTCTTCCCTATATCAAGGGGTATAATAGTTGAATGGAAATTGAGGCCATTTCTATCGTTATCCCCTCTGTCCTTTGTGATAGAGGTTTCTCTCTATTATCTACAGATACATTTCCTTATTTATTGCAACATCTGCCTCTGTCTTTTCAAGTTCCAGATTTGGATCTATTGGAGTACTTACTGGTTTGCATACTGTCTTATATATTTCTCTAAGAAGATCTATAACATGTTTCTATTAGGAGATGAAAATATTTTAGTCTCTTTGCTGCCTTGATTTCAAACTCCTCAGCCATACACTATTATGCCATCAAAATTTACTAAGAGTGGTTTAGCCCTCCCCCTAATGATGAATGTTTAATAAACAATGTGTGATCCCTTTGGCTTTGTATGTACCCCATGGTAATTATAACTTTTGCAACATTGCCAAATCATGCTCGAGATTAAGTGATTCAACTAAGGATTGAGTGCTTGGAATTAAGGCACTTTATGCTTGAGATTAAGTTGTCACCTCTTGGTCTGCGTTGACTCTGAGAAGTTTAAAAATTACGTTGTCAATGGCGTTCAATCTTCAGCTGCCTATGATGAAATGGGTGTCCCGTGCTTAGGATGATGCCAACATCGACTACAGGTTACTGACGTCGACTTGGTCTCTCCCCTCGTGCCACCCCCGGTTGCGTGCAGCTGAAGACGTGTTCATCTTCTTCGTCCTCTGACCATGAAAGGTGTCGCCCACCTTCCTCCCCCTCCGGACGCCGACGGAGGCGGCGCAGTCAGGAGCCCTCTGCGATACGGCGGAGGCATTAACTCGCTGTTGCCTGAGTGGGTTCCGAGGATTGGAGGGCTAGGTTCTGTTCGCCATGAAGTCCCAGAGGAGGAGGAGGAGGAGGTGGAGGGTCGTCTTCTTCCTGCAGTGGTGGCGGAGGTGGCGGCACTGGCTTGATGGGTGGTTCAACGGCAGGGTCCGCCGGGGTTTGCTCGAAGTCCTGCTGGAAGATTTACACTTGGTAGTCGCTCTCTCGGTCACAGGGAGGAGGAAACTGGCCGAGTTAGGGCTGTCGACGGTGGGAACGATGGTGGGGGAGGATGCTACCGGAGGGCTTGACGGGCTACGCCATCGGGGGGACCTTCTGAAAGTGACGCCGGAACCGCTGCGGTGGCGGAGCGGGTTATTAAATACCGGCGGGGAGGCCTTGCGACAGTAGTGGCAGATCCCTGCAGATGGCGGTCGGCGGCGGAGCTTCCTTCTACATCCCGGTGCTGTGCTTCGTCTCCGCCGCGGTGCTCCTGCTGCTGGGGGCACCGGTGCCGGCGGCCGCCTGCAGGTCGAGCCTCGCGAACGCCGGCAGCCCTCCCTACAACGAGACCTCTCCCCTGTCAGACAACGAGCCCTGTCCCCCGGTGGAGTTAGAACCCCCTTCTCCGGGGCCCTCTCCCGAGAAGGAGTACGAGCCCCCTTCCCCGGGGCCCTCTCCCGAGCAGGAGTACGTACGAGGAGCCCCCTTCTCCGGGGCCCTCTCCCGAGCAGGAGTACGTGCCCCCTTCACCTGGGCCCTCTCCCGAGCAGGACCCCCTTCCCCGGGGTCCTCTCCCGAGCAGGAGTACGTGCCCCCTTCACCTGGGCCCTCTCCTGAACAGGAATACGAGCCCCCTTCACCTGGGCCCTCTCCGGAACAGGAATACGGGTCCCCTTCACCGGGACCCTCTCCCGAGCAGGAGAACGAGCCCCCTTCCCCGGAGCCCTCTCCCCCGCCTGAAACCTCGTACGAGCCTTGTCCCCCTAAGGAACCCCCGAAGGAGCCTCCTCCCCCGCCACCGCCGCCTCCCCCGCCTCCCCCGCCGCCACCACCTCCACCTCCCGCGCCTGAACCCTCGTACGAGCCTTGCCCCCCTACGGAACCCCCGAAGGAGCCGCCTCCCCCGCCTCCCCCACCGCCGCCCCCGCCGCGGTTGTGCTTCGAGAACGAGAAACAAGCAAAGGCCTACGCGGTGATTCAGCGATTCAAGGAGAGAATCACCGATGACCCGCTGGGGGTAACCAGGACCTGGACGGGGGCGAACATCTGCACCTACACGGGCTTCACCTGCGACACGCCGCCGCAGACCATGGACCGGACGATCGCCGGCGTGGACTTCAACGGGTTCACCCTGGCGGCACCAACTATCTTCGGCTTCGTCGATGAACTCCCCGACATCGCCTTCTTCCACGCCAACACCAACAACTTCTCCGGTACCGTGCCGGATCTCTCCAGGCTCCGCTTCCTCTACGAATTCGACATCAGCAACAACAGGCTGGGGGGGCCCTTCCCCGACACTGTCATCGGCCTCAAGCAGGTCGTCTTCCTCGACCTCCGCTACAACGGCTTCTACGGGAGGCTGCCTCCCTCGGTCTTCACCCTCGACCTCGACTACCTCTTCCTGAACAACAACCCCTTCAACACGCCGATACCCAAGAACGTCGGCCGCACAGGCGCCGCCTTCCTCACCCTCGCCAACAACGGCTTCACTGGCTCCATCCCCAGCAGCATCGGCAACGCCGCTCAAACCTTGGAAGAGGTGCTCTTCCTCAACAATCGCCTCTCCGGTTGCCTGCCCTACGAGATCGGCCTCCTCCGGCGAGTCACCGTCTTCGACGCCGGCAGGAACCGCATCACCGGCCCCATCCCGCTCTCCTTCGGCTGCCTGAAGAAGGTGGAGCAGCTCAATCTCGCCAACAATCGCCTCTATGGGACGGTGCCGGACTCCGTCTGCCAGCTTCCCCGCCTGCTCAACCTCTCCCTCTCCGACAACTACTTCACCGAGGTTGGCCCCTCCTGCCGGAACCTCATCTATCGGGGGGTCCTCAACGTGAGGAACAACTGCATCCCCGGGCTGCCCCGGCAGAAGTCGCCAGAGGAGTGCGCCGCCTTCTTCGCCACGCCCCCGTGTTACTGCCCCAACATCCATATCGTCCCCTGCGAGACCCAACACGACGGCGGCTACTCCTACCCTCCCACGCTGCCCCTTGCGGCGCCGGAGCCCACCGCACCGCCGCCGTCCAAGACCTACTCCGTCGTCAACCGGCGTCTCCTCTGAGGGTTCTCCGTTGTTCCCTGTGGAACGCTCTCGCCGCCCTTCGTCCCCGCCCTGGCCGCGGACTTCACGTGCATAAACACCTCCCCGTAAAAGTACACGCCGTGTTCCACCTATCCCCTTCGCTGTGACAAGGAAAAACTGTCGTAATCATCCGTCGTCCCAGTTTCTCATTCCGTACTTATATCTGTACTTTCAACTACAAGTTCCACCCCCTGAATTCCTCGTGCACGCCTAAGAGCCTGGCCTGCGTGCCGCCCTGCCGCGGCGTCATCTCGTGGATGCTTTTGCTGCCTGGCGTCCTTCTGCATGGCCGACAACGGGATCACGTGGGACGTACTTTTTCCGACCGAGTGCGCGCCCCTGTGGCGCCTCGTTGTGCAGCCGCCAGTCTTATCCGCTGCTTATCATGAATAAAAAAGTCGCTTTCCGACACACACGTGAGTCAACGCAACTCAGACCGTGATCTCAGCAGGTGGACGATACTTCTGGTTGGAGTGAACTAATGCCTCCCCATACGTCGAACAATGCCTCCAAGCTGACACGAAAGGGAAAGAAAGCCACCTCCCCCGAGGGCCAGGCTACGAATGAAGAGATCATCCTGAGGGTTACAGAGTGTACTTGCTCCTGCTCCCGAGAATGGATTCTTTGTCCTCTTCTATTCAAGTTCGGAGGGTTGCTCAAAAGTCTTTTTCACGATGTATACGGTTAAAATAAAAAATGAAAAAACTTTATTCCTCCTATTACTTACCGGCTCGGGCACAATTAATACATCGTGTAAAACAAATTACTTGTGACCCATCCCCCCGCACATGCGGAGATCATCTGCCGAAGAAACATCCGTATATATAGAAAAGTCGTTTTCCGACACACGTGTCACCTGAGCAGGTGCACGAGATTTCCGGTTAGAGGGAGAGAACGGCTCCCCGTTTGCAGAACAACGACCTGAAGCTGCCACGAAAGGGAATGAAAGTCTTTGAGTGTACGAACGAAGAGATCATCCTGACTGCGGTACTGAGAGTAGGTGTCCTGTCCGCTAGAACGGTTCGTTGTAATCTTCAGAAGTTTGGTCGAAAGTCTTTTCATGATGCATAAGGCTAAACTAAAAAATGAAAAAAATTAATTCCGTCCTACTTGCTCGGGCATAGTTAAGGCGTCCGCAATACCGACGACAAATCTTGGAAAAAAAAAACCTTGCGACCCATCCTCGCACATATTGAGATCATCTGATGAAGAAGCGTCAACGGCCCAAATATTGAGAAACACCGAGGCTCACAACCGACCCACACAAGCTTGTGACTGCCTCTCGAGCAAAACTTCTTACTCTATCCACTTGCAGCTGCTCTCTTAGGTAAGAGGGGGGAAAGGAAACCGAATTTAAGCATCAAGAACTAGAAAGAGATAATCCGATCATCATGCTGAAGACTCTGGAAAATCCAAGCGCCAAGAAACTGCACCCATGTTGAAACAACTAAAACCATAGAAGATGGCAGTTCGACAAGGGAGATCTTTACAGAAGAATAATACTTTGGAGCAAAAGCGACTGGGGGACTCTCTGGTTTCTCATGGACGGGCAACCTGAGATAAAAACAAGAGCTGAGAAGGACTGAAGAACCATGGCACCATCCACCACCACCACCACCACCACATCAGTCCAAGACCATTAAAGAGTAATTTCTTTCATTAAATATTTCTTTTTTATCAGGCATCACAGACCCAATGCGCTAAAGCTGCGCTGAAGATGTTTGTCAACCCAAGATACACGAGGATCGTTTCGAGATTTTATCTTTCATCACTTCACGAGGGAGGGGCTGTGAGCGTCACCTATCATCACTCTATGAGGAGAGGCCGTGAGGGGTCATTATCCATCTATTTTAGATGTCGTCGACCACCATCCATCATCCATCTGCCATCATCCGCTGTCAGCCCACTATCATTCGTCGTCCACCGGTTATCTGCTGCCACCAACTGTCACTGCCGCCGACCTCCACCGTTGTTCAACGTCTGCACACTGTCACTCACCGTCCGCCACATTTGTTCACCCTCCATTGCCGTTGCCACCATCTTCCATCCTTCAGTCACTGTCTGTTGTCCAAAGAGAGAAAACTATGTCAAGCTTTTCAGGATTATGAAGTCCTCAATTAAACTTAGAAAGATAGAGTACCTTTAGAGAGAGTGTTGACAATCATGATGAGGCATGAGTACATAATATATAATACCTTTACAAACGCATAAGATTAGAAACCCATAAGACAGTATGCAAACCAGTAAGTACTCCAATAGATCCAAATCTGGAACTTGAAAAGACAGAGGCAGATGTTGCAATAAATAAGGAAATGTATCTGTAGATAATAGAGAGAAACCTCTATCACAAAGGACAGAGGGGATAACGATAGAAATGGCCTCAATTTCCATTCAACTATTATACCCCTTGATATAGGGAAGAACCTTAGACAATTTTTCTAAAACACACTTGGTCTTTAAAGTACTTTCTTACGACCTAGAATGACTCTGAGAAGCTCACTTAGAGGTAGAAGCTCATCTATCGGGGGGTCCTCAACGTGAGGAACAACTGCATCCCCGGGCTGCCCCGGCAGAAGTCGCCAGAGGAGTGCGCCGCCTTCTTCGCCACGCCCCCGTGTTTGTCAACCCATCCTTCAGTCACTGTCTGTTGTCCACCATTTCCATCCCTTAGGTAGTTTAACCGTTCTACAGCCCGCCATTCCACTACTCCCCCATCCCCCACTCTATCTGGTCCGCCACTCCGTCATCCCATGCTCTGCTTTTCTGCCTCACTGGCCATTCCCCCATTCCTCCGCCGCACTGTTTATTCTGGTGATCGTCCATTCCACTCGTTCACCCATTTCATTGGAATGGATCAACATCCGTTGGTTCGTGATTCGTTGCATTGCCAAACCCAAACTGACTCTGGGCCTGCTAGACTTGAGCTAGATCTGATTAGTCAAGTCAAAATCAGATTGGTTATGTCAAAGACCCATATGTATCAGACCCAGAATAGGCCCAAATCTGCCAAGCCCAAATATTCATAGATCTGCTTTATCAAAACTACCTAGATTCGTCTAGCCCCAGCCATTTAGAGAATCATCAGTCCTGAACCGAGTCATTCCAGGTTGTAAGAAGCTCATCTATCGTGGAGCCCTCGACGTGAGGAACAACTGCATCCCTATACTAAACGGCACTGACAAGGCAATTTTTAAACTTATTAGAGTCAACACCGACCAAGAGGTGACAACTTAATTTCAAGCATAAAATGCCTTAATTCCAAAAACTTAATCCTTAATTGAATCACTTTCACATATATTAGCTTAATGATATTTTTATAATATAAAGTTCATGTACTAATATATTCCCATCTTGAGATGAAATCTAATAACCCCATGTTTGATCTGATACAAAGAAAATCATTTCACAAGTCAGACGCACCACTTGTGCACATTATGGTCGAAACATGTTGTGTCGTGATCAGAGCCTGTCGTCGCTTACTCTTCATGGGCTCTGGCTCTAACTACAGACTGTATGTAGGTCTTCTATAAGAAATATGTTTCTTGGATTGAGACAAAACACTTGGAGAGCTTGAAGAATTATCCATCAACCAAGCAGTTTCTTCCATCTAGCATAGCTTAAGATTAGCAAGAAAATGATGAAACACCCAGATGACGTTCCTCCAACAAATGGACCGAAGAGATTGTTCACGTTGTACAACTGACATGGGATGTTCATCGCAAATAGCCCGGCTATCAAGGTATCTAAAACTATTGCAAAGGATGCAATTGTCAACGTCAACTGCAACTGAATGAGTTCATTACGCTGGTTGTCGAGTTGGATGTTCACATAGTCCTCTGTATCATCAATGTATTCACGTACCTGTTAATTCCAAAGTTGAAAAGGTTGAGATAACTGTTGCCAAAAACCATCAAGGGCAATGACTTGGGGAGAGAACAAGTGTACACTTCACATATAAATTCACAAGGAAAGAAGGTCTTGTCAAGCGTTAAATAGGTGTATGCAGATCCATCTATTTACAGCTTTTACATTTTGCTGCATATTATAGGTAATTAGATGCATAAACTCTGTGGTCAAGCACTTCTTTCGCGCGTGTAATGAACCAACTAATGCATATCGGCAAAGGTCCTTTCGATTTTAATAGTTTCAATGTAAGGGTGCCATTTAAGCGCTCAAAGGTGACCTACTGCTTAGAAGGGTTTTGAACAACAAAGACTCATCAAGTGAAGCTGAATCAACAGTCCAACCACGTTTCTCAGCTTTCCACGGTATTGATTCGATAGAAAATTAGCCAGCCTAGCTCATCAACGAAAATGATTAAACCACTGTGGAAGAAAATGCTGACGAGTAAGAATACCCTATTTAGACAGCGCTAGGGAATCATGCGTTGAGGGTAAGGTAATATCTTGCATGATAGACACCGCAAAGCAGGACATAAAGTTCTGAGTTATAATGAAAGAAGACATTCTTAACTATGAAAGATGTATTTATCTCCTGTGGGTTTTACGCTGACATTGCATCCCCTGCCACCAGTATTTTGGTATATTTTCCACTCGAATATTCCCACAGTTTTCTCATCAAACTTTACAGCCTCATAGCATACTTCTGAAACATCTCTGTAAGTCATCCTTTGAGTGCCCAAATCTAAAGTGCTTTGTTTCTCCTTCGACAAGATTTCAACCAAATCTGTGATCCCATTCTTGAGCCCTTGATTCGTCGACCAACTAAGTGAGTAAGTGAGAAAGAGAGAGAAAGAGAGAGAGTTTTATTAATTACTAGATTTCAAAATATTTAGGTATCTGACAGAGAAGCCTTTTCCTTTCCGAGATGTCCTCCAAAAGCCTAACGGTACCATTAATCTGGAGGACTGAACACTTCCACAAATCTAACTGCTACCCTCCCACAAATTAACTGTCCTCATGCACACTGACTACTGTCAGTCCTTCGTGGTTCTAATGCACCTGCCAACAACTGCATGTAAGAAGAACAGAAAGGAAAAGTAGGCGGGAAAGAAAGGTTGTTGACGGCTATAGCTAGCCGCCTACGCCATTTCCCCATCGTCGGGTAAGATATCAAGCCTTTTCGTTGTGGTGGTCGAATATAGATAGTGTGAGAAAGGATGTATAATTAGGAGTTCGGTTATTAGTTGGACCATTTCCTAGTTTGCTGACTCGTTTCTCTTAGCTTTTAGGTATTTCCCGTTTGTGACCCTGGGACTTTATAGAACAGTCACATATGATGTGAATATGAGTTGGGTTTTTCCATTGCATATTGTTTAAGGGTTTGAACCACTGTTCGCAACATGATACCAGAGTCAGGTTGTAATCTTTGGCTTGTAGAGAATCTGAGGTTTGCTTGCCTTCTTCCTTTGCCATAGCCTAGGGTTTAGTAGAGGGTTGCTTGGTCATGACAACAAGGAGGATCTCATCGCTCTAGGCACTTGGACCACAGGGGAGAAGAATCCATGACGTAATCAAAGGCAGAGGATGGATGTCAGAAATTGTAGAGATGATTGCTACAACACAGTCTAAGTGGTTAGTACAATTTCAACAATCTGGATTATTGCCAGACATTCAAGCTGCATATAAACTAGACAGAAAGTAATTCCTTAAGTGGTTCCCACATTTTCTCACTGTGCTGAAAGGAAAGGAAAGATTAACCATCTCACAGGTACAAGCCCAAAACCAGAGGATCATTGATTTGACATATGGGATGAAGAAGATTCTATGATTATGACATGGTTATGGAATTCTATGGCTTAGAAGACTACAGACACATTCTAAAGCTAGAAATGCAAGTTAAGACTATGAAGTGGACAATGGCTGCAAAATAGGGAAAGGAAACAGTTACGGAGCATGCAAATCAATTATGGAACATGCTAATCATTATAGAAAATGCCAATTAGTAATGGAACATGCAAATCAGTACAAAACTTAGTGGTAGGAACTTAACTATTATAGGAAATTAAAACCAAATGTCTTGACGATACATATATCTTAAAAGATTTCTTGTTGGGCTTAGTCCAGAATTTGATCAGGTAAAAAAATTCAGATTCCCAGCAAATATATGCTTTAATGAGGTGATGGCACTAATTAAGGAGAGGAAACATTGTCACCATTCCATTCAAATCAACAAATTACAAATAGTCTTGTTCCTGGTATATCTGGGTTTGTATCATTTGTTTATGTTTATGGTCATCATAGGGAGAAATTAGATCCCAAGCCATTAATATGTAATATGGATGCTTACATGGCATACAAATTGAACAAAGTATTTTATAAACTGAAGCAATCACCTCGAGCGTGATTTGACAAATTTGCAGAAGTCATAATCACCATGGGGTATAGACAAAGCCAAAGGGATCACACATTGCTTATTAAACATTCATCATTAGGGGGGGAGGGCTAAACCACTCTTAGTAAATATTGATGACATAATAGTGTATGGCTGAGTTTGAAATCAAGGCAGCAAAGAGTCTAAAATTTTTTCATCTCCTAATAGAGACATGTTATAGATCTTCTTAGAGAAATATATAAGACAGTATGCAAACCAGTAAGTACTCCAATAGATCCAAATCTGGAACTTGAAAAGACAGAGACAAATGTTGCAATAAATAAGGACAGAGGACAGAGGGATATGCTTTTATTTCTCTGATGATGATGCTGATCTGAACCTATCTATCTTCTTCTTCTTTTTCCCTTTTAGCCGTCCTTTCACTTTTATCCTATTTGCATATTATTTCTCGCGTGGACATACCATAGAAGAAGTTTTCAAGATAATCAGACTCATACGGAAGCTGAAATTCCAACAGGAATAGGACCCAGTGCCTGATCTACCTTTTCCTTTGTCAATTGAGTTCTGCTGCTGAAAACCTCTGCTCAATACACCTTTGGCTCTTCTAATGGTTGTTAAGCCCCAAAAATAGCTCCGACGTAGAATGATCCCTTCTAGACTACTCGAGATGTTGCTGTTATGCAGAACAAGCCTTCTATATTAGGCCTTTCCTCTATTCATTTTCTTTATTTTCTTGTTAGGTGAATTTCCGTCATTCCCCATTTCCTTCATTAGACTTTTCCATTAATACCGGAAAGGTCTATTGTATGCTAGTATAAATACTGGCAAACAGCCCTAGATAGGGTTGACTGTGTTTTCTTTTGCTTCCGCTGTATCTCGAAACAGTTGCCAAACTGTGCAGACTGTGGGAGAGTTTGGCAGCTGGAGTAAGGAAGATGTCAAATTCAGACTGACTAAAGACAACACCGGGTTGAGATAATACTTGAAAGATGACTACATAAAGATGACACTGGAAAGATACTAGGCAGAGATGGAAGACCTTGCCAGAAAGATACTCAGTAGAGGCGGAAGGCCTCGCCAAAAATCAACACAGCTGGAGGTATAAACCCTCATCGGAAAAATACTTGGTAGAGGCTGAGGGCCTTGCCAGAAAGCTACTTGACAAAGGCGGAAGACCTTGTTGGAAACTTACTCGGCAAAGGTATAAGGCCTCGGCAAAAGCTTACTCAGAAAAAGCAGAAGGCTTCACTGGAAGGCAGCATGACACTAATAGCAACGCACTGGCAGATGGCGACGAAGGACATGGGTAACAGCAGTAGATAGGAGATGCCAGATATAGCTGGACTCCAGTGGTGGTGGTGATGGCACTCCCCCAAACAAGAGATGCCGAGCAGAGCTGACATCGAATACAAAGCTGATAAAACCTTACCTAACGAACCTAGCTCTTGTACCATGTAGAAAATGGACAAAAACCTCTATCATGGAGGATAGAGGGGAGAACGATGGAAAACCACCTCAATTTCCATTCAACTCTCACACCCCTTAATATAGGGAGGAACCCTAGACAATTTTTCAAAAACACCCTTAATCTACATTATTTTCTTATGACCTAGAACTTCCAACAATGTCAATGTCTAGTAGGAAGACTCGTTTCTCTATCTCATACATGACCAAATATAGCATACAATATTTCAAAGTTTTAACGGATAAGAAGACTCGGCAAGTGCTTATTTAAGATATTGCACTTGTCTTGTAACTCACCAAGCGCTGCAGTATTTCAAAGGGACATTATGAAAAGGCATTCAATTTAGGAGAAACGGAGGATTGATACTTGAGAAATACATAGATGCTAATATATGCAGGCTCAGTGATTGACAACAAATTAGCATCTGGATATTGCACCTTTCTTGGTGACAATCTTGCAACATGGAAAAGTGAGAAACAAAATGTGATAAGATGGTCGAGTACACAAGTTGAATTCTGAGCAATAGCTCAAGGTATGTGATAAACTACTTTGGTTGAAGAGTCTCATTGAGTCATCTCACTTAACCTTCAAGTCTTCAAGGATAGTTTAGCACAGAGTATTTTAGAGTATTGAGTATGCAATTAGCATAGCTCACAAGATGAATGAACAAAACATATCCAGATTGACAGACTCTTCATCAAGGAGAGGTTGGAAAGTAGATCGATTTCAACACCATATGTATCTGCACATGGCCAACTTGAGGATATACTTACTAAGTCGTCAGTATTTCAGAGTATTTTATCCATGCTGGGAATGGATAATCCCTATTCACCAACTTGAGGGAGACAGTGGGAAAGAATGTATAGTTAGGAGTTTGGTAAGACGTTTCCTAGTTGTTAGGCAGTTTCCCTATTTTGTGGGCCCAGTACTTGTATATAACAGTCATCTATGATGTAAAGATGAATTGAGTTTTTTCTCTGCATATACCCGAGGGTCTGCACCACTGTGCAAGATATAAATGATATATCGTAAAAAAAATTAAAAAAATCATTGCACCCTAGGCTAACATTACAATGGTGTGTAACCTATAAATAAAAAAAAAACAACAGCAGTGGTTATTTTCACTATCACATATAGTTATCACTGTTTAAAGATACAGAGATACATTCTTTTTTATGGTACTTAAAAACTCATTTGAGGATCCATATTAATGATCACATAACCGAAAATCAGGGGGTCACAATAAAAATATGCTCACCGACAGTATTTTATTTCGGGTTCCATCTAGCTGCATAAAATATGCCTCAAGCAACATCTCCAAATCCTCCACATCATAGTCATCTGAACGAACACTATTCACAAAACTGGTGGTTCTGTGATATGAATTCAATCTCCCAGTGTGAGGCACAGGGGCCACATTGTTGTTTGAAGCACTAGTAGCAACTAAAGCTTCAAATTGCTGGTTTTGTATCTGCTTCCTTGTTAAATATAAATGAGACATGTCCTCATCATCATCCAGAAGGTGTTCAATCTCATCTCTCACCTGATATTAGAAAAATATTCCAACAGAGAACAAGGAAAGATAGTGGCAACTGGTCAATGCACTGAATGAAGCTCAAAACGTTAATTCTTGTAAATCACATAGTTTAAGTGAACAGAATAGACTCAGATGGCACTAAAGTGTTCCAAGGACATAACTCATATGATCAAAATGCAATTAAATAATATTTAACGGTATACAAGTCTCAAAAGATGATTCGCATTCAAGGTTGGGGTCATCAAAAGAATAAGAATCTTTACCCAGCTAATAAACGCCAAAAGCTTCTTGGTAATTAAGCTATGTGAGGCAATACATGCCTAAAATCCAATTGTTAAATTATGCTGTAGATATAGAAATTTGAGACAAGACGCACCCAATTTAAGACGATTTTTTGGTTAAGTTCTTCAGATCAACTTTGAGTGTTTATATAGAAAAACAACACGACCAAAGATCAAACTTTACCTACTTGTTTTGACCAAAGCTTGAACGAACTTGTTAGTCATTGGTAAAGTTGGAGCCTTAGCGAAACACATCTAATATCCAAACCTGGGGATAGATGAGCTATCCTTGACATGAGGAGTTTTAAAAAGGAACTAAAACACCGAATCTCAGTCAATTTGAAACAGACATTAGAGAGTGACCAAATCCATCTATGGATGAGGGAAGAGCAATCCCACAGGATAAACAAACTTTTTAGTTATACCCAAAGAAAACATGAAAAAAAATTAGGTGAATGCCTCAAAGATGAAAGTTCATCTAACACATATGAGCGAAATCCATACCTTCTGAACACGTGCAAGCAAACGTGTAAGAGTAGTTTTTAGGCCTCTCACACGCTCCAGATTCTTGGTACTAACATTTTTGGCGAGATCATCCAAACAAGGATATGCATCTTTCTCAAGCTCAGACACACTAGATTCTAAATATGTACACACAACTTCCAAAGCAATCTCCAGAACCTGAAATTCAAAGGGGAGTTCAAACTCATCACCTTCTCCTTTTCCATTAACAGAAAGCCATCTTCCACCATTTGGAGAACCTGTTTCTTTCCCTTGGATGTCAGAATTCTGGGTTTTTGGTGAACTTCTAGAGGCAAGTTGCTGTCTCAATTGATCAACGAATGGTCGAACTTCCTGGCTAAGCGGATCAAGAAGAAGAACTTCTTGAGCGGTGATTATGGCCCTTACAACTTCCAAGTTGACAACCATGGCTTTCTCTCTGGCTGGACATCAAGACAAAATCACGAGTGAACAACAAAGTTTATAATAATTGATGAGTTTCACACTCATGATTTCGACAAAGTTTCATTATCTAAGAAAATTATTTGAGACGGGAAATACTGCTTCATCACGTATGTAAGTTTCAAAAGATGTCTACCACTGCAATTAATCGACAACAGGGAAAAAACAAGAGCAAGAGCGCTGATAATTGGCAAAAACTTGTATCAGCAAGTTCAATCAAAAAGTTCGTTATCAAAAAAAAAAAAGAAAAATGACATCACAGAATCATGGAACAGAAAGCCAAGAGTGTGAGACATTGAGAAATACTTAATCTTATGAAGTGATAAGTACCATGTGCTCATGAATTATCAAAAGAAACGATGGGCTGTAAATGCGAGTTTCACGTGTTGTCTGTGAAGGTAAAGCGACAGAAATTTATAACTAATACTTTGTTGGGGTTCAAATCAACAATTATTTCACTCATCTCAAACACAATCAGGTTGAATTTTCTTCTGTGTCATGTGAACTGGGTTCGCATGAAGAACTCATCACAGGACAAAAAAGATGATGGTCAAGCACCAACCAATTTCAGCACACCTCTGCAGATCCAGAAAAAAAAACTGTGCTGCACTCTGCAGTGATAAAGTGAACTTTTTTCATTGAACTCCAGCGCATGGCAGTGATTGAAAAGTATTCACAAAGGAGGATGTGCGAGTCCCATAGTGCTGAAAGCAACAACGTGAGACTCAAAACAACAACTGACGCATAATCTCTCCAAACAACAAGAAACCCCTTCATTCTCCATAGTCTTACTTTGTCCTCACATTTATTCTTAGCCAGAGTAGGATTATCTCAGCATGTGTAGGATAGAGTTTTATTATGAAAAACTCAGCCGTACAGCCCAAGCATTTGGCATCCTCTTGTAATCATCTAGCCGTATAGTCCGATGTGGCAACCAAGACCAGCAGGGCAGCCACATCACAATACTGACAGTTTCCACTGTGTCTAGTCCAAATAAGCACGCACAAATGACTGCGGCAAATAGAATGATTTTACTTTTGTTGCAATACACCTAAATATTTACAAAATAAAATTTTAATTTTCTTTTTCCGAATGTAGCATCACTTCCGATAGTCAGATGTAAAAGTTTTCGGCATTGAAGAAATACTTTTCTCATCCTTTGGCTGTTCAATGGTCACACCCTGTTAATTTCCACAAGCCTTGATACGGTGCAAGTACGTAGAAACCACTCAAATGAACTTTAGATTTTATAGTAGAGGTTTTCAATATTAAAAATGCATTATCGTCTTCTGCCATCTTATTTCGACAATTGACAGATAAGTTGGTTACGAAGAGACAGTCAACCACTGCCGACGATCAGCAAGGACACTGACCTCGACACATCATCCTCTAGAATTAATGCTCAACTTCCAGATTTAAGATTGTGGAAAGAAGCGTGACTAAGAATCTACACGTATCAAGTCCAAAACCGATTGGGAGCCAACAAGCTCTAATATCTTAGTCAAATTCTTAAGATCAAAGAAAGAGAACTCCGGAAAACCGAGGAAATTTACCAACATTAAAATATCAAAAATACCGGAGGAATTTCGAATTTCATTACAAACGATTCATGGATTGTTGGGGGGCAAGAGAGGGGACCGGAAGATTCTGCATTCATCTGAGGCTTACGCCGACCATTCAAGAGATCGAGGGGTTTCCCCGTCACGGTAGCATAAAAAACTGATACATAACATTTTTCTCACCGATGATGTTGGACGAATGGGAGAATACAGGACCGAGGATACGAAGATCCCGCGGCGGGATGCCAGCACGCTGGATGATGACGCTCTTGTCACATTCGAGAAGCTCCGTCTTTCCCGTTAGATCGAAACGCATCCATAGACGCGACCCAGCCGTCTTCTTCTTTCCGCCTTTAGGGACCAATCCACCCATGCAAGGCCCCCCCGGAGGACCCAGGGTCCCACCTTCCACTTTGCCCAGGCCGCCATGGCAGCTTCTCCCAGCTCCACTATTGTTACCGTTGGATACCCGGGGCGGGCTGATAGGCTGCAATTCCGCGAGCTTGCTGCCCAGCCCCAGCTTCCAGGCGAATGAGAGTGGCCCTTTCCTCCGCCCCATCCTGTCACCTCCGCGGACCTCCGCCCTCTCTCTGTCTCTCTCTCTATCCCCAGATCCCCGCCCTCGCCGCCTCCTCCTACTCCACCACCGCAGTTCTCCAAGCAAATTCAGCAGTGGCGGGAGGATTCCGCAGACCCCAGGAAGAGAAGAGAACGGCCGCGGCCCCGCACGACGGGCACCGCGGCCTTAATAGTTTTTTTTTAATTGTGTGACGTCACCTCTCCACTCGTGTGTCTCTGCCCCCCCCATCGTGTGTTTTTTTTTTACTGAGGACGTTTTATGAAATTTACAACCCCCCCGGCTCCAGACGGTTAACTAAACCGGACAAAATTGCATCAACACCGATGGCCAAATAATAATACAAAGATACCCCACGCAGTAAGTCGAACGTGCACTGCTATTTTCTTGGGTTTTCTTTAAAATTTTATAAAGTTTGACTTAGGACATCTGATAGGTGGGAGGAGAGACTATTTACTGGAATTTTATGTAATCCTCATACAATCAGACCTCCTTAGTATAAGATAAATATACTAGAATTTAGGAGAAGGAACTATGGAGAATCATGGTAACATGAAGGGATCATGTAGGTCTCTTTCAAAAGGGGTCGTGGGGGTAGCTGCTTCAAGATGGCTAATCTCCAAGACTCTTGGAGGAGACACTAGACTTCTTTCTGGCCTCTCTCAAGTGGACTGGTCTTCTTATAGTAGTGGTAACCCTTCCGTGGTGCTCGTGTGGGCGATTGTTTCTAGTCAGACTGTCTTGACCTTAGCAGCTCAAACGCTTATGCGCCCACAAGTCAACTATCCCGTTGCTCGTTTCTGGGCCACTATCAGTTGACATCCTCAAGGTTCCCAGGTGACCGTTTGGATTGCCCATTCAAGAGCTCTTTCCATGTGGGTGGAGGGTAGTGGCTAGTATCTCAACAATATTACTTAAAAAATAGATAAAGATGGAATTTGTTTTTACCCATATGACCTAAAAATGTTAAAATGTGAACCATAAATGTTTGAATGTCTAAATGAGAAGAATAGACGTTGATCAGCATGCACAATTATGGAAATTACTAAATTAGAAGATCAAAAAAGGCCACCAACAGTCATATTAGGCCTGAAAAAAAGTGGATGAATAATATGTAGAGTCTTAATTTTTGTAATTTTCGTGTTTTAAAGGTATTTTGATTCTTTTTCTTAATTTTATTTGATATTCTGGGGCACCCCAATTGATTTAAATTATCCTGGTTATTATGAATCTCATATCTTTGAATTTTTTTTCTAGCTTGTGGTTTTAAGCAGCCTTTTTAGAATTCGGAGAGTTAACTTTGATAATTGTGAATTCAAGGATCATTTTTTATGGATTCAAGGTCACATTTGGATCCTTTTAGATTTATAGCTCAATTTTTTGTTCTTCATGTTCTCTAGATCCATGTTTTGTGGATTAAAGTCTAAAATCTTATTTTTTGCTTCGTCAGAATTTGCCAAACTATGTTAGTATATTTTTTCATAAATATGATATTTTTTTACATATTAATGAAATTGATATATTAGTTATTAATATATGTAAAATTTTCAATTTTTTAATTATTTCTGAGTGATTTTATATATTAAGTGGCCTAATTTAAAGCGACTATTTATTGAATTTTATGCTGTGAAAATAAAAACCTGAAAATCATGGAAGGGGCAGTTGAATTAAATAAAAATTTAAAAATAACTAAAATCTATCAAACTTTGGTTTCACTCGGAGGCAAATTTAATTATTTATATATTTAAAGCTAAGATAAAAAAAGTCATTTTGAGAATGCATTCTGGGGAGCATTTCTCGTTCAAGGAAAAGAAGCGGGAAAAGGAACCGTAGAGGGGCGGCCAGAGGAAAGGGGAAATCGCAGAGGGTTTTCAACCAGTCGAGAGGGAGGAAGAAGATGCGAGGAGGAAGAGGAGGCAGAGTCCCCAACTCCCGGAGCGTTGCCCCCACGCCGGCGAGGAAGGGCTACGCCGCCGCTGCTTCCCGACGGGAATCCGACGTCAGTCTCTGCAGCAATCGCCCGTCATCTGTCTCTCTCTCCCACGCCATCCCATGTCCGCCCATCTCCGATCGGTCCTACCAGTCGGCTGCCCTGCGATCCGTCAACGCGTACCTTTCCTCTCTCTCCACCGCCACCCTAAGGCCACCCCTCCCCTCCGCCCGCGACATCACCAAGGCTTTCGATGACGTGCTTTCTCGTCTGGATTGGCCCATGCCGGTGGGCGTCGCCTCCACTCTCGAGGACGATCTCCCCTCGATACTTTCGAATCTCCGCTGCCCCGTCAAGCTCAGCAAGTCCGCGCTTAAAGCCCCGGGAACACCTCACTCGTGGCCTCCGCTCCTTGCAGCATTACACTGGCTCGTTCAGCTAGCCCGCTTCCGCGATTACCGCTCATCTTCTCAGTCCTTCGCAGAGGGAAACAATGTCCTGCAGTACCACTTCCAAAGCTTCGCTCTGTTTATGGAAGGTGACGATGAAGCCGTCAAAGCCCTTGACCAGGAGCAGTTTCGGCAAACCGAGGAACACGTTGCAAAGCTCATGGCTACAGTGGAATCGCTGGAAAAGGAAGCATCGGATCTTGAGAAGAGAGCTGAGGCCATCCGATCGGGACCATCGCCGAGAGAGACAACCGAGAAGGAGAGGGCTTTGCTCAAAGATGATATCAAGAAGTTTGATGTTATGATCGAGAGTTGGAAGGAGAAGCTTCTCTCTGCGGAGAAACTCCTGGGAGAGAAAGAGGAGGGTTTGGATGCGAAGATAAGAGAGAATCAGCGGATTTCTGAGGAAAATGAGGAGCTGAGGAAGAGAATCGGATCTCAGGTGATGAATGTGAGGGATGCAGAGAGGACGAAGAAAGAGCTACAGGCCATGGAGAGAGACGTGGCAGAGGCAGAGATAGGGAGGAATGTTTTAGAAGAGAAATCATGGGAGCTGGAGGCAGACATCGATCGCAAACTAAAGGAACTGGAGTCTCTCGTGGAGCAAGCCAATCATACCATTAAAAAGTAGTGCTCTGCCTATCTTTCGTCCTTCATGAAATCTCAGACAAGCGTATTCTAATCTGCAATATTGGAGCTCAGCCTTCAGAAGTTCATTATGGGCAGATGTTTAATTTCTTATTTTAGCTAGATTGCGTGATCTATTATTTTTTAATGGTGGTTTTCCTCATCATGATAACTTGTTGGTATTTTTTCTGCTTCATCTCTTTATTTGGGTTAATGGGCATATCTTTTAGCTGGGAAGAAAAAGGGACCCCGTCATCTGCTCATGTTACCGTAACACTTCCATATTCAGGTCACCTTGTAAAATATTTGTTTTCGTGTACTTAGGCTTGATGAAACTGCTTCATATTGAGGGTATGCGCAAACATTGCATTAATTTTTAAACTGTGGTATGTTATTTTTTTATTTTTTTTTGGTGTGATATACACATAATGGAGCTTTTAGTCATTAGAATTGCCAGATTTTTTTTTTGCTTCTTGAGTTATTTGGAATTTACTGGCAGAAGAGGAACACTTGTTGTTTGTGACAGTTAACAGACCTAAATGATATGGGCATTTTTAGTAGAGCCAACTGCAAGCTCCTTGCGTATCTGGAAGACCCTTATATGATCATAATCATGGAAGATCTAGGAGTTGAACTCCAGGAAAAGTTACATTACTTGGTTAGATGATCAACCTAATATCAACGTTGTGGTATCCCTGCCAAATACTCGAGCCCAGAGAGTGATAATAGGCGGTGGTCTTTCACTGACTGCAAACTCCAATTGTGGTCAGCTTCAGGAATTGGCCTCAGATGTTGAGGTTCATTTATAGCTAAAGACATGAATAAATTTTATTTATTTGCGAATCATATTGATTAACGTGGGACAATGTGTTTGATGCCTGCCAAATTGGGTTATTATTTTTCGTGGAAAGAGCTGGAATGATATTATTCAACTGGATAGGGCTTTACTGGAACTATCTCGGAGCAATGGATTCATATCCGCTTATGTATCTGTGTATTTTTGCCTTGATGTTTCTACTAAGATATCATCATATCGTTTTATGGTGAAAATAAATTGTCCAATTTTAGGTCTTTTGGAGAAGCTTCGTCAATAAAGAGAACGAACACGCCAATTATGATGAAGATCTTCACAGATATTGCCTCAATATTAAAGAGAGTAAGAACAAATGAATGGCATTTGGCGAAATGAGAAGAGCACAGGGATAACAGAGTTAGTTGTAGAAACCCAACAAACATGGATGTACCTAAGCAAAATGACCATCCCCTGACAGTCATAAAAAACATGAAGTTTAACTCGTGTAGGCATTCTTTTCTCTAGAAAATAATTACGAACCTGATTGAGTTCCATCATGCACGTATTTACCTCCATCAGTTGTCCTGGTCCTTCCATTTAGAATAATCAAAGTGTATATTATGAATTTTTCAATAGCTTCATGCGTATTGCTCAGGAGCTTCATTATTTTGGATGGGTGGCTCACTATGCTGATATAATCACCAGGTTGAAGCTTGGATGTGATTTTCAATATGTGCTAAAGGCCGAAGGATCTTCTGCTGCTGAGGTACTGGGCGAGGACTACAAAACAGTGCTAAAGCCTTTCCTAAATGAAGCTGCTGATGAGACGAAGAAAAGCTCTGTGGCGAAATTGGAGGAAAAAATTTATCTCCAACAACAATCCCGTGAAAAGTCTATTCTGCTGGATGAAAGGAAAGAACTCCTCTCTATCCTTCAAAAGAAAATTGACGAGGTATGTCACGTAACCAGAATGAAAAATTTAATTTCTGGTACGCAAACCCTTGCAACGTCAAGAATGACATCGAGATCCTTGGAAACATTTAAGGAAATTAGCAAGTATCATTGCCACATTGTGTTCAGTAGAAAGGCAACACAAATTACATTGAGCCTTAAATGCTGATGGAGAGGAAGGGTTTGAATCTATGATTAAACTTTGGGAGGGAGTTCGCCGGTGTTACTCCTCCATTTCTTGTTGTTAGAATGGCCCACAGGAAGAGACTTTCCAATCTCTGTTTCTTCTCCATGTAGGGAATGATCTACAGCGTGCAGTTTTCATCCTTTTGCCTTATTTTTTATTGTCTGGATTGCGTGGTGGTTTGCTGAGTCTTGACTGCGTCCATTTTCTTGTATCTTGGAGACCCTAACAAAAATTTCCTGTTAAACGAAAGCATGGACTATGAGTGCATTTGTTGGGATATAGTTAATTGATCTTGCTCTATTTCCCCTGGAAACTAAAATCTGTGCGGAGAAAAGAAAAGCTGACTGCATATTTTTTCTGGTAAAGTTTTTCCCTTGATACCACGCTAGCAACTTGTTGTTGCAGGCTGAAGCCCGATCAATCTTGTTAAAGAGGGAAGTCGACGATCACACATCGAGATGCTCTGCGGAAGCTGAAAGGATGATGAAGGATAGAGAGAGCAGAGAGCATCAGCTACTCATAATGGAAGAGGAGGCAGAGAATTTCCTGAAGGTGATCTTGTCAACGCATCGGTTTCTGTTTTTCTTGTATGCTCTTTCAATATAGTCAGGTGCCAGCAAGATTATTTCAATGAGCCCACGGGACCTCTTGCAGGACTCTGAGCTAAAATTACAGAAATCCATAAGAGAGAGCGACGAAGAGATCCAGATGTGTGCCAGTGAACTGGTGGCCTTGATCGATGCGGTCTCAGAGTACAAAGAATGTATGGAGTCTTTGGTGGGGGAGATACAGGCCGATCTCTCTGAAACCACCCAGGCTATTGTCGATGCTCACAAGGCCTTCTTGTCAGCAAGGCTCATGTCGGCCGGCCAAAGTGCGAGCCTCTGTGGGTCTAAACGTGCCCACGCCCTTCTAACAAGCTGAATGCAGCTTCAGCGGCTCATAATATCCCCTGGAAATTGTGTGGGCTGATCTTGCTGGCGGTGCCTACAGACCACCTGCTTTTAATCTTGTTCCTTGCCCTGATGAGAGATAAAGCTTATTTATTGACTAAGATTCTCTCTCTTCTGAAAAAATGTGCTGAATGCTACCGTTCGTTCTGTTCTGTGTTCTGTGGTATGACTCTGGGTTAAGGGTTCTGTGGCAGGAAGGAGTAGAGTATACGCACCAGCATATGTATATATATTTATATATATACATATGTGTTCTCACATATTTAGATTATGCTCAGGACTGGGTTTTGGCAAGAGAATGTAAAATATATATTTTTTTTCTTTGAAGGTTCCAAGCTACTAGAGGGGTAATAGTCGTTTATGTTTTATGGTTTAATGCAGGAGACTATTTTTGCTCATTATTTTTTTCTTGTGGAGAAGCAGCGTGCTTATCGTTTACTGTGAGAAGCATTGTCGACACGACTCTGTTTTGGAGAAACAGAGTGCCGTGTTCAGTCACCACACGAGGTTACATGTCTCTCTCTCTCCTCCGGATGTCGTATGGAACGGGTTGTATTGACGGCTTACATCGACTGGGTCCAGCGTGAAGAATACGTCGTCACATTTAAGCTTAATTTCATTGCCCTTGTTCGAATTCATTATTTCAATAACTAATACCACTAACTAAATATTCTCTCTCTCTCTCTCTCTCTCTCTATATATATATATATATAAATCCCGGTAAATAACGAATCTTTAAGCAGACTTGAGTTCTTTGTATGAGAAACAGATGGGAGGGCCTCACTTTGGGTTATGGGACAATATTATACAAAAAGATATGATATCAGAGAATCCTCGGACACCGGGTATGATTTTCGCTTTAATGGCCAAGAACACGCTGATATTTCTCTGAATTGAGCAGAAGAGAGGAGACAATGGGAAGTAGGAAAGACAAACCCAAAAAGGAGAAGATTGGTGGGGGAGGTGGGGTGTTCCTGATATCCCCATACTGTGCAATTCTCCTCTAACAATTAACCCTATCTAACCGCACCTCACTCCATCAGCCGATCAAAAAACAGCTTGATCAGAAGGAAGCCCGCCCATCACTCATCGATCTAACTGATGCAAAGTGACCACTTATTTTTCGGGTGGAGAGGAAGAAGAAGCCTCCACTTTTGGCATCAGCCTTCTGATCATTACTTTCATGTGTGGTGCCATAAACGGCGACAAAAAAAGGGTCTCTCTGCCAGAACACCGAGAGCTTTCTCAACCCTGCCTGCAAAGAGTTGCCCACAGAATCCCTCTGCCTAGGATGATTTTGAACTTAGACCGGAATTTCCATCGCTAGATTCCTCTGGAAGATGCAGGTTGCGGCGGGTGAACTTGGAAGACGGTCGTAGCTTCTGATACTGCAAGAACACGAAATGTGATCAGAACCCGTTTAACATATTAATTGAGATATAGACATAAAAAATACTACAAAAGGATGCCGGGTAAGGTAACCTCCTCGATGAAGGCATCGATTTCCTCTGCTGTCAATGCTTCCTCTTCTTCTCCCGTGTTCTCCTTCCATCCAAACAATCGTAGAAGTCTCTCTTCTTCCTCCGGATCTAGACACGAGCCCTTTTCTCCATTGGAAGGCGAGGAACTCTGGGAGTCCTCACAGGGATCGGGGGTGGTCCCGTGAGAGCTGCTTCTGTTACCTGTTAATAACTCTAGGCGAGAATCTGATGCAGAAGCACCCTTGGATTCACCGTCCATGGAGGAAAGTTCAACAATCTCCTGCCCATCTGGTTTCTGCAAAGCAGGTGACTGAGATGAGCTCTGCTCCGTGGTAGAAGACGAGCTCCCCGCTGATGTCTTCTTCCTGAGAGAGTTGAAGAACTCGCTCCTGTTCTGCTGGGTGATGGGCGGCCTTTTCTCGATGAACGTCGTCACGGGTAAGCCAGTTCCCCTGCCGTCTGTTTTCAGCAGTGGGCTGTTGGAGCGCTTCAAGGAGAAGGCTGTTGTGGCAGCGACTGCAGCTGGATTGACTCTTGAGGTATTCATCGGGCTCTGGCCATCTCTCGCAGTCGGTGAAATGCCATTCCTCTCGCGGTTCAGGACATGGAAATTCCCAACATGGGATGGTTTGGAGATGTCAGGCCGGCTAGAAGCACGCAGATTATGACCGACGAGCTGCAGCGATGACTGCTGCCCAGCCTTTGAGAGCGTCCCAAAGTCGCCACTTCTAGAGACTTTAGGCTTCAGTTTCTCTGATGAGCTGAGAACCTGAAAGAAGTACCCGTATGTGAGAACAATTTCCCATTTTAAGGCGAGCACAGAATAGTTGGCTAAAAACAAACATTGATTTTCTTTAGTTGATTGTGTAAAAAGTATCCAGATCGAAGTGGGCAAAAACGACCTTGAATGAGTCGTTGAATGCAGGAAGCATCAACAAAACAGCTGCGTAGGCAAGAAAATAGGAGACAAAAAGCAATCACTTAATTGTCTCACGGGGTGGTATCGTCAAAACCTTCTTTGATGTTTCCTTACTGATCAAGGACGGATTCAAGGTGCCTAGTTATGGTATGAAAAAAAAGTGGGAATCATCTTAAAAGTTTTCATCTAATGTTCTGTATGGGCCATCCAAGTTGGATGCCAAATTCTGCATCAATACTAACCAAGAACATGGAACTAGAAACTCGTAGATTTTTAGATCCAAAAATATCAAAAGATTAAAGGAGCCAACACGCAGAGAATGTCTTCTAAAACTAAAAAATCATACAAAAACCGTGATGATAAAATGTTCCCACCTAAGGAAGTTTATCAAATGTTCAGGAAATACTTGTGAGGTAATAAGGCAATGGTTTCTTCCCAGGCATTCCCATTTTCTAATCGCTGTAGAACACAAAAATGAAAAGAAAAAAAAGTACTGAACACTAAAAACAAAATCATATGAATCTCCAGTGTCTTGAAGTGCATTAGGCATTTAAACCACAATGCATAGACAGGTCAACACCTGTAGGTAAAAGAGAGGAGACTTATGAGCCCGTCCTTACAATTTTCCATGTGAGACGACAGTCATATGCAGACCTTACAGAGTGACAATTTTTACCGCACGAGGCAACATTTTGAGCAAGATTTGAGAAAAGAGAGGGTATCGATTAGAAAAATTGTTCTTGAAATGACACAAATCGAACCTCGATCATGTGTAATGGACTCTGAAAAACTATTTCCTAGAGAAAAATAACTGGGAAGCCCACGATTCAATGATCTGGCCCTTTTTTCTTATTTTTCGCATACAATGGATTCCCGTCTGAATATCTCCCCCATAATGGATTATAAAAGAAAGATGCATCTCTTTCTCAAGAAACACTTAAAAATCCTGTTTTGATTGGTCAAGGCACATAGAAGGGTAATCAGAAATGACCAAAACAGAGCTTTGCACCATAGAAGCTAATGGAGAGTAATAAAAACTAGTTGGACTAATAACAATTCATTTTGAATCGAAAGCTATTAAAATTTTGTTCACATGGATTCATAAGAAAAGACGTTGTTCTAGGGGATCTCGTCTCCACATGACATCACCTAAAGATGGAGTTTTAGCATTGATAAAAGATTAATCATTTCACAGTAGTTCAAAATCCAATATTAGCAAGCATGGAACTTCTGTAACAATGGGAACTGAAAACGGTGCCTATTTCAAAGAATTTCTCCCAAGCTCTGGGAATACTTTCGTTTTACACAGCATGAGTTGCAATCTCGAATATTTTTTGACCTGCTTATTGGGAAAAAAATTATACATAAAACAAGATTCATTACGAAATGAGTTCATTCAAAAGTTACCATCACTGCAAACGCATTTTAACGGCTAACTTCGTAGACAAGCTAAAGCAAGTAAAGAATCCAGGGAAGTTATGATTATGTCGGTATCTGTACCCATATCCCCGTAAAAAAAAAAAACGCAGAAGATAGTGTTTTATCAGTTCAAATAGGGAACGAAAACTAATCACCGGTTAGAACAAAAAAACCAGACCTGACTTGTACCTGTGATTATTTCATCTTAAATTAGAGTGGTATATCACCTTGCCCTGAACTAATAAAACACGGTAAGCCAGCTCACCCGATAAAACTCCAGAAACAGAACGATGGGGATTTTGTTGAGGGTCACGATTTAACAACTCTGTACACAGTGTTCTTGCAATACATTGGATTTTCAGATAGAAGACAATCTCACACATAATAGGAAAACAGAATAAAATGAATTTGAAAGTAAAAAACATTCCTGAAGATCACACGTATATAGAAACATAAAAAGCCACGGCTTAAAAAATATTCTTTAGAACTTTGCTTCAAATAGATCAATTATCATCATCAAAGTACAAAAAGGATAAAAAAACGAAATCAGGGGATCTTTCTGTAAAAGACTCAACGTAAACTCTTTCAGATTATCTTACAATGAGAAACATAGTGTAAAAACATTTATGTTTATAAGTTAAAACTATAATACTGAAATAATTTCATCCAACAAATATTACACATTTAAACGCCAATGAGGATTTTTCATAGGTAAATATCTGATATACGATAAAAGAACAATTTTTTTGCATCATATCTAATCAATTCATTGGTTTGGACCAAAGAAGGTCACTCAATTACTATCCGACTGAAAAAATCTTATTTCCGAAAGAAATTTAACATAGTGCCTTCTATTTCGGATAGGTGATGAGATACATAAAAAATCCTCTCAACAATCCAAGTGGAGTAATCTCATTTTCTCATCAGATTCAGATCACATAGAAAACAATAATATAAAAAAATTACAATGCTAAAAAATGCATACATTATCGATTCATAAATGTTATATAAGTTAAATGACTGATTATGATAGCGGATCACAAATAAGAAAACCAGTCAAGCTTCAGTTGTCGTGTGCAGGGGTATTTCTTGCTTACTGAAGCTTTAGATGTTGATGGTGTAACAGGAACTAATTGCCGGGACTGCTTTATGGCAAATTCTTCCAGTCGCTGCGTGTCAACAGATAACTGCCACAAAATACCAAGATCGCTTAGAAATAATAAGCATTAGGGAAATGTCAACCTAATGCCTCAGCCCAAGAAATATAAAAAACATGACAACATCACTAAAAAAAAAAACCTTTGGGATAGTGCGAGTTTGTGGTGGAGCTTGTACCAATGCCTCAGCCATGTTTAAGCCACTCGTGGTACTTAGAGTGGTTGAACTGGCACTGGTGGGAGTAGCTTGCTGCATAGATGTCAGTTGTGGTCCATTACATCCAACAATGACAGGTACTTCAGCCAACGCTGAGGTCCAACCATCACCTCCAATGAGTGCTGATCCCAAGGGGAGGTTCTGAACTGCACTGCTTAAGCTAGGAGAGGAGACCCTGCCAATCTCAAGAGATCCTTGTTTCTCCTCAGTCCCAAGAGAAGGAAAATCTCTCTCAAACGATGCTTTGCTGATGTTGTTCACAATACTCGCGCTAGAACGAGCATAGGCTGTGCCATTCCCCATTGCTTTATTCCAAGAGTCATTATACCTTCCTGATATCATGGTCTGTGACCTTTTTAATGCATCTTTCTCAGACCTGCTTGCTAACGAGAGGTCAGGAAAGCCATTGCATCCATTTTCCAAGTGACACAACTTCTGTTTGTCAACAAATTCTGCATCTTTGTCTCGGTCCCTATCTCGGTTGCTTCTACCAAAACTACTGTACGGCCTTGGATGAGTGGGCCTCTCTCTGTCATTATACGGAGAACCATTCGTGCTTGAACTTCTGTGGTGGGATAACAGGTTTCTTTCTGCAGTGACTGAAGAGCGCGGACTATCATGCTCGCATCCATTCACTGATGGCCTGTTCCTTGATAAAATCCCTATAGCACGATCATCTAAACCAGAGAAAATGTGAGGGAAATAAACGAACCACCAAAATATAAGAATGTCTGGTGGTGAAAGACAGATATCAAAGAGAATGAATGCATAGAGAAAAGGACGATACCTGAATGAAAGGATGATCCAGAGATTTGATTCGAGCTACTGCTTGTTGACTTTAACCACTCCGGAACAAATGTTGGCTCGATTTTGTTCCTTTGGGCGGAAAAAATCGGCTGTTTGTCAGTTCTTTCCATCATAATTAAGCAGCATTATCAGGAGGGAAACTTCTTTCCGAGTGAGCCTATAAGCTAAACCCTCCCCAGAAGCTCTTTGACCTCAGGTAAATAAAAAGAGCCAAAACGCCACAATGCATAATGCCACGGAGCCTCAAACCTCTCGCCACTCTTCCTCTTTTCGCCTTCTCGAAACAGGCGAGGAAACCAAGAGTTCACCGATCCAAAAAGGAGCCCGCCTAGGAAGAAGCCTCGACGTGTAGAATCCTACATAGAACTCCAAAAAAGATGCATCTGCCAGATATTTACGACCGACGACGGAAGGCAATGGAACACCTAAGACCCCATGTTCAGGTGAAGCCCCGCAGAACACCATCTACTAGTATACATTCGAAAACTGAGCATCGGCATGATTGAGAAATATAAGAGGGAAGAGACCCTCTAAAGGAATTTATCAACCGATAACCGGTTCAGGCGGGGATGGAGAAATCTAAGACCACAGTGATGGCCAGGAAGAAAGAGGGATTCCCCGTGGTAAAGCAAGGCACAAGACGGATTGGCAAAGAAAGGGATAAATGGGAAGAATATCAAACGTAGGTAGATCTTTCCTGTTATCAGAGACCCCAAAATCGTGACTCAAATGTGAAGGTAACGGGTAGAGGAGAGGGTAAGCAGCTTCCCACCCTAAAGAAGGCCCTCATTCTCCGGATAAATTGTGCTCCTCGCTACTCCTGTCGTATTGTTCGCTCACTTAGAATACCAAGAAGACAGCGGAAAGGAGAGGATCAAGGGAGAGAAAATGAGGGAGCCAACATTACGCAGCAAGAGCCGGCACCGGTTCCTGCCCCTTCTCGTGTCCCAACCTCTCCGCAGACGCCTACTCGTTCTGCTCCTCTATGTCCTCCTCCAAGGCGCCTCCTCGCGTTCCCCCAAGCAGGGAAGGGAAGTGCTGTCCGCAGCAGTCGGGCAAGGGGCCCCAATGGCGCGGCGGCGGCGGCGGCAGCGAAAGCGCAAGCGACAAGGGGGCGGCGATGGAGGGACACTTACACACTGCGAGAGCAGAGGGACTCGGGGGTTCTCTCGCCTTCCCTCGTCAGAACTTCCTATATTTCTCGCAATTCCTCTTCTGCTCCTCCGCAAGAAACTCGACTTAGAATCTCAGCGGAGCGGGATGGTCGGGCGTCGTTGATGCCTGCGAAGAGGGCCGGCGTGGGGTCGGGCTGCGGTACAGGAGGAAGGAGGGAGAAGCCCTTGCTGCCATTTCCTTCCTCCCTTATATACACAGCCTTTTATAATTTTCCTCCCCTTCCTTTCTTTAACCTCCCTTTCCTAGAATACACAGGCTCAATCCCCCCAACCCCCCTCCTCATATTTTTATTTTTTATTAACTACGCCAATACCCAAAAAAATAAATTAAATTTATTTTAAAGTTTTTTTTTTGTTTTTTTAATTTACATCATATTTAATAATTTGTTAAAAACATTTTCGTCTAAAATTGCCAAACTTTGAACGTTATAAACCATGGGCAGAACTTTTTTTGGGCGCCGGGCCCAACGTATTCTACTTATGGACCCAAATAGCCCGGCCCATTAATACTTCTGGGGCCACTTTTCTTACCCTGACAACCCTGACAATATGAATATTTATAAAAATAGAATAATAAGGCGAAAAATATGATGTTCACGGATGCTAAATAATGCCACCATATTTTAATATTTTCAATTTAATGACCTTAAGGAGGACGCGCCTGAAATGTTCTTCGACTGGTTATGTAGATGAGGGGTAACATGACAATTTACGTAAATTTATGATAATATGACAATTAATGAAAGACGGGAGGGTTTCCACACGCGTACGGCGACTGATACCCACTTGGCGCCCACCCCAGAACCTTCCAGAAGACTGACCGTAAGCTTTGAACCCACGGGAACCTTCTCTCCCGTGGAAAAAAAACCGAATGAAATTATAGGTATAATTAAATGAATTCGGATACTCAACACCCCCTGCCACGTGGAGCGTGGTTTCGGGCGGAGTCCACGTTCGCCTCACACGTGCCAATCGCACCCCGCTTGCAGTTGGGAAGAAAATGGGCCGGTGGGCATGGGCCCGGCGGGGCGGCCCGGATTTAAATCATTCTTAAATTCTGATATCATTTTTTATGTCGTTGATATGCTTCTAAAAAATTTAAACGCATTATTTTAATGTTGGGTCCTCCGGCCAAAAAAATAAATATTTTTATTTTTGGGGCTATGTGGTTAAATTTACCCCGGTAAAATGGTTTCAAATAATAAAATGTTTTTCCAGGGCAATTAATAAAAAGACATAAAACGCAGCAGCCTCCACCTTTCTACATGCCGCTTAAACCTCGTCTTCTCCGGACTCGGCCATACATTCATGGCGGTGCTGCTCATAAGGAAGACGGCCTCGTTCACCCCTACCAGCGGCTCCTCTCAACGCTACCATCTCTTCTGCTGCCTCCTCTCCTACCTGGTCGCCCATCGTAATGGCCAGCTGAAGCGGGGACTCTGCTCTGTGCCGCTGTACAGCAGCCTACAGATCGCCCGCGACCTGTTCGACATTTTTTCCAAGCCACTGAACCTTCGGAGCGACGACGAGCTGCGGAGCGCCGGGCAGAGGCTGACACCAGAAGCCGTGGAGAATGTTCTGAAGGATCTGAAGGGATGGCGGAGGGCGCACGAATTCTTCCTCTGGTCTTCGCGGCAGGAGAGGTACCGCCACAACTGCTACACGTACAATGCGATGGCCTCCATCCTTTCGCGTGCCAGGCGGATCGGCCCGCTGAGGTCTCTGGCGAAGGAGGTGGTGGAGAGGCGGTGCCCCATGACTCCGGGGGCGTTGGGGTTCTTGATCAGGTGCCTGGGAGATCAAGGCCTAATAGAGGAGGCGAACTACCTAGTCGACAACGCGGAAAAGATGAGCTGCCTGCCTAATTCATACACATATAACTGTTTGCTTGAGAGCTTGGCGAGATCGGGGAGGGTGGATATGGTGGAATCCAGGCTTAATGACATGTTAGTCATGGGAATGCGTATTGACAAGTACACCATGACACCAGTCCTGAAAGCATACTGCAACGCAGGAAAATTTGAGCGTGCCTTGCTGATGTTCGACGAAATTCTTGAAAAAGGGTGGGGTGATGAATACGTGTTCACTATTCTTTTGGTATCATTCTGCAAGTGGGGCGAGGTCGACAAGACTTGTGAACTACTGGAGAGAATGGAGAGTATGAAGATGAAACTAAACGAGAGGACCTTCTGCATATTGATACACGGGTTTTTGACGGAGGGAGAGGTGTACAAGGCGCTAGCCTTGTTTGGGAAGATGAAGGAATCTGGCTTTGGAGGGGATCTGGCGATTTACAGCGGGTTAATTGGTAGGCTTTGTGAGGGGGGAGAACTTGGGAAAGCTTTAGAATTTTACCTTGAGATGAAGGGAAATAGAATCCTTCCAGATGTCCAATTGGTTTCGAAGATGGTCTCTGCGTTCTGTGGTGGTGGGGATTTTATGACTGCTCAGCAGCTTCTTGAGGTGGATGGAGAAGATATGGACTCCGACAGCCTGGTTCTTCTTTACAATGCGGTACTAGAGGGGCTTGTTAACCATGGAGACGTAGAAGGGGCTCACTCTCTGGTTCGAATGATGATGGGGCCTCACGTCCCAGAACGTGAACAGAACAGCTCAACTGAGGCTGTTCAAACTGATTCAATCGTAGGTGCGCCATTCAGCTTAGAGAAAATGGTCCGACCTAATGCTGATTCTCTTGGTATAGTGGTTTGTGGGCTGTGCAAGGTTGAGAAGCTGGACATGGCCCTTCAGCTCATAAACGATATGTCCACAGGTGGTTATACTGGGACTCTTCTCATGTATAATAATCTGATTAATGAGCTTTGTAATGTTAGTAAATTGGATGAGAGCTTAGAACTCCTAGGGAAAATGCCAGACTTTGGTGTTGAGCCTACGCAATTTACTCACAATTCAATATTTGGCTGCCTCTGCAAGAGAGAGGAAGCACAAGCTGCTGCTGATTTTCTAAAGGTAATGAGGAAATATGGTCATGTCCCATGGATAAAGCACTGTACCCTGCTGGTGCAGCAGCTCTGTAAGCATGGAAGAGTAGAGGAAGCATGCAAGTTTCTGGATGACATGGTTGAAGTGGGATTTGTGCCTGATATGATTACATACTCTGCAGCTATTCATGGGCTCTGTAGTATTGGGAATATGGACAGAGCACTAGAAATTTTCCGCAAAGTGTCTATAGAGTGGTATCTTCCTGATGTGGTTGCCCATAATATCATAATCAATGGATTCTGTAATGCTGGCAGACTGGTAGAGGCCCAAGAAATTCTGAAAGAGATGCTAGAAAAGGGATTGGTGCCTTCTGTTGTCACCTACAACTTGATGATGAATGCGTGGTGCAAGGAGGACAACATTGATGCTGCGCTGCTGTGTTTCTCTGATGTTGTCGATGATGCATCGAGGTCGCCCACAGTGGTCACCTTTACGATTTTAATTAATGGCCTTCTCAGTGCTAGAAGACCTGATGATGCTCTTGCATATTGGATGAAGATGAAGGAGAAAGGATGCACTCCAAATAAAATATCATACAGCGCACTCATTCATGGACTCTGCAAATGTGGGATTGAAGATACTGCTTTGGCATATTTCAACGAGATGTGTGAGAAGGAAATCGAGCCTGACATCTCTGTTTACATTGTGTTGCTCAATGGTTTGGCTTCAAATGGAAACACAGTTGAGGCTCTTACAGTTTTGAATAAGATGGTCCAAAAGTTTGAGTTTTCTAGTCCCGTGGGTAAGAACTATGAACTTCTGAGAGACGCACTGCAGATATTGTACAGAGATAGACACACATCTTCCGACTTAGCCAGAGTAATTGATGAGGGTAGAATACCCGTGTTCCAGAGTTTAGATATTATAGTGGGGAGTGTGAAGGATTCATGATGCGCCTTGTAGTATCTTGTCTGATAATGTAGTTGGAGGACCTTGTGGAAGCAAAGCCCACATTCAATGATTGTGGCTGGCCCTTTGGATCACAAGGTTGCAATTTTTTTGTGCCCATAGGTCATATTGAATGGTCAGCCTCTTGGGCCACTGGTACTCTGACCACGTTCAATCGTTGTTTGACCAAAGTATGTCCCATTTTCTTAGAATTATCATTAATTTACCATTTTTAGTTTTTAGCAGACGACAAGTTGCAGAATATTTTCATCTCTGTCTGGCCATGTTAAATTTCAGCTTTTTTCTTACTTTGACTCCCGGTGTATGATTCTTGCAGGTGATCGATTGGTCCAGAAAATAAGGTTTAATCTCACCAGAATTTGCTTGTTAACCCTTCAGCAAATGCTTGGTGACGTACATGTTCATGCCAACTGTATCAGGTTCGGTGAGTTAATATTCATATCCTTTTGAATTTTTTTTTTGAACTTAACCATTTAAAATGATAAAATGATTTTCTTTCTGTTAACCATATTCTTTGTCAAAATATGCTACGAACTGGCAATTATGTTCCTGTCTCACCACTTTTGGCAACTGTTACAGTACCTTCAATTTGATGATTATATATACAGCCATTCTGATGGATTTATTTTTTTCTCCATTCATGCAGTATGATTGATCATCAGTGTATCAGAATGGCAGAGATGGATTGTGCAGTAATTATTGGGTTTTTTTTTTTCCAATTATACTTCTGCGTGGACGGTGCTACAAATTTAGTAGAATAATAATAATAATAATAAAAAATTAATCCGACCCACTTGCATTCAGAAAGGAAATAAATGAGTGGAGTATACCAAGGATGATCCTCACCGACAAAATAGTCTTATGCATGAAGATTCTACACACTCAAAGGTATCGTATTTTCTACTACTATTTATTGATGATCATATGTTTGTGTATTTATGAGTATACTTTAATGAGGATCACTCTCTTGTTCTTGGGGCATTTGACCCATAATGAGATGTGATCATTGGGAGTGAGATGCCAATTACAGTATACAAACACTCGACTTGGGACTCTCGTCATTTCTATCTAGGACAAGTGGGGGGGAAAGAAGAACGAGATGTTTGTAGAGAGGGAGGCGAGTTTAGTGGAACCTGATTTAGTTCATGAGGGGACAGAAGGAAATTGCTCTAAAAAAATCAGAAGAGAGGAGGTCTTAATGATGTGATTAGCTTGGTCTTTGCTTATATTCTACCATGGTTATGAATTAAATGACAGGCTCTGGGTTCCCTTCATTCCTTGCTTCTCAATATGAGCAAAAGATTATGATGAAGATGGATTTTCTTACGTTTTTGTTGGATCATAAATCTCATTTATTTCTCATAGCAATTCTCATTCATTTTAAGATCCAAGCTTGGTTCTGTTTGGATCTGAAGGATGTAGCTTAGATTTTTCATTTCCCTGAAAATTCTTAATAAATCATTTTTTTTATTATTAAGAATCATATTTCCCTGAAATTCCGCTGTTTTTTCTACTTTTATAATATTTTTTAAAATTACCATTAAAGATTATCTGACACGTGGAGCAGGTGTGACTTAGTCAACGAACACAAATAGCCGGAAGAAGACGTTTGACCTCTGGCGGATCTTGGCGGGTGGGGATTTCACCTTCTCGGAGACGCCAAATCGGGTCAACTCCACCAGCAACAGGGGCACGATCTCTCTAAAGGCCAATGGAAGGATGGGCAAGTTGACTATCTGATGAGGTCTGTAATGAGACCACGTCGCACCCTCATTTCTCTGGCCTACGCTACCATCCCTTTGGAAATAAGACATGTCGTCAGCCTGCCACAGAGAGAGAGAGTGAGAGTGAGTGAGAGAGAGAGGGAGAGAGAGAGAGAGAGAGGGAGATTATGAACGATTCATTTATTAGTATTTTTTTACGCATAAAATGACGTTGGTAATACCCTTTCAAAGTTCGAGGGGGTGAGAGAGAGAGAGAGAGAGAGAGAGAGAGAGAGAGAGAGAGAGAGGCCTGGACGCATTATATTGGCCTTTTCCTGTTCATCATGGGCAAAGTGGCCTTCCCCTTCCCTCGAGCTCTCACCTCCTAGGGAAAGTCCAGTCGAGGAGTGCAGGATGAGGAGGGAGACGGAGGAGAAGAAGGGGGAGAAGGTGAAGAGGGGATGGCTCGTAGTGACCGTCGGCCTCGACGACGGCACCGGCGGCGGCGCCGCCGCCGCCACCCTCCCGCGCTTCGCGATCCCGATATCTTATATGCGCCACCCACTGTTCATGGGACTGCTGGAGGCGGCTCAGGACGTCTACGGCTACCCCTCCGCAGGGCCGCTGAAGCTGCCGTGCTCGGTCGATGACTTCATCCACCTCCGCCGGCTCATCGAACGAGGGCCGCCCATCTCCGGCAACCACCGCTGTCCCCGACGCCGCTCCTTCTCGTTGAACACCTGCTAGCGCCGTGGGGGCAGGCGGCTCCATCTCTTCTTCCGTCTCGATTTTGTTTTCAAATATTCGGTGCCCTCCTCCGTCGTCCCACTGGTACCATGCACAGAGACTGGAGCTTTTTCAGCTCCTGTTCCATCGTATTATTCTCGAAAGCATCGCAGGGAAATCCTTTCTTTTCCTGGTTTTTGGCGAGAACGAGATGATGTCCGCTCTGGTTCTTGAAGGAGATAGCAGGCCGCAGGTTGAAAGCCCGCTCTTTTCATACCCAAGAGAGATATCCATCAGTATCTGATGAACACACGTATCTACCTTAAACCACATGCAGCGAGAATGTATACACATTTCACGAGAGAGAGAGAGAGAGAGAGAGAGAGAGAGAGAGAGAGAGAGAGAGAAGCTCACTTATGAGAAAAACAATAGTAACAATGACGATTTTCTCGACGTTGAGGTCCCGGACTCATCACTTACATCAAAGCGTCTAAAGAGCAGCGCACGCAATGAGAGAGCTAACGGCAGCTCCTCAAAGTGGCGCTACCAAGAAGCCGTGGGTTATCAGAAGATCATCCCGATTTTCAATACACGAAGAGGAGGGGGGAGGGATCAAGCCAGCAGAGGGAACTGGGTCACTTGGAATTGATGGCGAATGAGAGCTTCGGGCGGGTCTTGTTCTTACCGAGCAACTTCATCTGGTTGGCCCTCTCCTCCTCTTCTTCCTGCTTCTTCCTCCTCATGGCCTCCTCCTTCTCCCTCTGGAGGCGCTCCAATTCCCTGTACCGTTCTTCCTCCCTCTGCAGCTGTTCCAGGGCTTCCCTCCTCTGGGCTTCCTCCACCCGCCGCCGGTTCTCCTCGAGCATCTTGTCAAGCTCCTCCCTCTCCCTCCGAGCTTGCTCCTGCCACACAAAAGGGATTGTTATAGAAGTCAACCCAATGTAAACATATATATTTTTTTCTCAATAATTTGATTGGAATTTAGGTAATCCAAACATTTTTATCAGAATAGTCAACCCACAGAAAGAGCTAACCTCTTTCTGCCTAGCTTCGGCAAGGGCAGCCTCCTTCTCCTTCTCGAGTTGGACTGTGACTTCGTTGAGCATCTTCTTTCGGCCTTCTTCTATCCGTCTCTGGATTTCCAGCTTGACCTCCTCGGAATTTAAGCTCTCCTCAACTTTCTTCCGAATAGCCTCTTCGATTCTCCGCGTGGTTTCCTCTTCTAACAGTTTCAATTCTGCCTCCTGCTGTCGCCTGCTTGAGATGGGAGAAAAAAATAAATAAATCAGATGAGATGTTTGACTGGAACTATGATCTGTCGCTCCATCATCTGAATTAAGGTTCCTTTGGGGAAGGAAATCGACAAGCAACAAGAACAAGCTCACTTATTTTATAGCAAATTAATCCTCCTGTGCTTTCAAGGCATACCTCTATAAAAGATTCCTGATCCAAATTAACGAGTTTTCAAACCGGAGAACAGTAGATAAACGAGGCACCAAAGGTATCATCAATATATAACAAGTTGAAGAACTATAGCAGAAGCTTCCTTCAGAAAAGCCTGTGGCGAAGAATGTCATAACCTGTTGCAGGTTGAAAACTAATCACGAAAGAACATTAATTTTCATGTGAAACCACTGCGCTGACACTCAAAAAAGTCTTCATTTTGTTAAAATATAAAGCAGGAAATGACGGGTTATTCTTATTTGTAAATAAACATGAAGAAATTACTGAGCCGATTGACCCACAGACAACATATAAAATGGTACCTTTACGTAACAGAACGGATCCTTACAACCTACATCCATTGCAAAAAGAGCCTTCACCTTCGTGGGTATTGTTTTTTGCAACTTAACTTCCTCACCTGACCATGCCAGAAGCTTTCTTGTAGCTCCAGAGCTTAATATAAGTAAACCACATACTGAAAAATCATATCTGATGACTGCCTCTGTACAATTAGAAAACAAGAGAATAGCGTAATGAAATTTAGAGCCACATGAGATGAACTAGGTCCTTGACGACCTAGTTATACCGCCTCTGTCAATGCATATGAACAGTGCGCAATCTGTCACTCAGAGACTTTTTGATTTATAGTCTGAACTGGTTTTTTCTTGAGGTTCTTCATCGTGATGGTCTGATAATTCGTCGTTGAAATTTAATTCTGGTCTCTTGCAAATGATTCCCATTATTGTGTTTACTGTATAGTTCATGGAGAGGCCGTAGTTCATGCTCTCTGTTTCCGTGACAGTTACACCAATTTATAAATGAATGATTTCAGGACCAAGGCAGCCCCTGAGTGGTGTGGGAGCTCAGGCGACCAACTATGCCATGATCCATGAAGCCAAGCTACAACGGATGAACGACAGTAGCATAACTTTGTGCATTTCAGTACCTAAAGGGAAAACAAAATGATAGATCTGATGTAAGTTGCATTACAGTAACTATTTGAGTACCTTTTCTTTTCTTCTTCTTCTTTTGTCAATTTTTCTATGGAGGCTTTCTTCTCCAGTGACTCGATCCTTGGACTGGGAGATTTTTCAAATGGAGACTTTGTGCGGCTCCTTGTGCTTTGTCTCTTAGATCTCCTTGGAGTTGGAGAACGGCTTTTATGGCGCCTAGCTGATGGGGACCGGCTTTTGTGGTGTCTTGGAGAAATGGAACGACTTCGTCTCCTGTACACCAATGTATGAAATCAGGTGAGGATGAAGACAGTTTTACAACTTACCTAATGTGGTAGACATGATGCAGTATATATAGTGATCGCAGGTAACTCAGTCGTCATTAGTTTAAACGATGCACACTCAGATTTTCCTCATAACCCACTCTTATACAAGTTAAGTAAGGACGGACGATAATATTCATCATCAGCATTGACACATCCTTTCCTTTGTCAGATATTACAACGGGTAAGAGAGAATGGCACCGGATGTCATGTGAAAGCCTTGTCAATGAATCGTTCGTTCAAGTATTTAATCTTGTATCTTCAAATCAGATGAATGAATATGTTTACCAAACTAATGTGAGAAGACCCTCTGGTGTAATGCTGTTGATCGTAGTTTCTAAGGCCTGATGGTCACATACATCTGTAGTGCTTACCACTGCATTAATACTTTTCTTAGAAAAGGTTGGAGTGTCAAATACTAACAATGGCGAAAGAGATATGAACAAGCTTCTGAAGAGATCCATTCAAAGAGAATCTACAGGCACCTTGACCATCTATTTTGGTCCTCTTCACATAGGATAACGCATATCAATCAATAAATAGGCAAGATAAGCATCCCTCAAGAACAACAGCGAACCAAAACAGCAAGCTAATTAAAAGGTTCTACATTGGCTTGAACCCTTTCCTTTGAAGATTGAACAGATTTTGATGGAAAAAAGCACTTGGTCAATGGACGCATTTGATTGCAAAGATACTGGTGAAAGCGCAGCAATATGATACAATTACGTAGAGAGACGGAGACAGCGAGAGGGAGGAAGAGGGGAGCGAGGCAGAGCGTGCCAGAAATGGTCTGCTTAACTTTCTAATATATAGTTTGCAATTTATACACTTCCCGTATTATTATTGATCTTGTTTGACGATTAGGAGACCAAATAAAATAAAGAACATCGTTAATTCCACCTTTTCTGCGATAGTTTTCAAAGAAGAAACAAGCATGAATGCCGTCACAGATGCAGAGCCGCAACTGACACAAACTACTGCCCAACTAAACAGCAAACGCTCCATCCTTTCGCACTACACCACTTTCCCTTCCCTTTTGCCATCTTCCATCCTCTTACTGAAACCTACTCTCATATATCCCGATGTCTACTGCTCGGTCAGAGGCCATCTACCTCGTTACACAAGATATAACTCACTTCTAGAAGAAGATGCGTATCAGCGAGAAGCTTAAGAGGTAATTTCGAAGTCCGATACCCTTCAATAAATCATTATCTTCAGTTTTCTGTCCCGATTTCTGCTTTCGATGTTTTTTCGGACGGTGGATCGTATGGCAATTTTTACAGATTGAAGTATTTCTTCTCGTTTTCTCCTTGCAAGCAGAAGAAGAGAGAAAAAAAGCAGATGATGCAAAGATAAACCTGCGTCTATCGGAGCAGGTGATGGAAACCGGAGCAGAGGGCTAGAGATGAGACCTGTATGAATACGGGGAACGGCTGCGGTCCCTCCGGCTTCTCCTACTGCTACCGTATCGGCCATGAGCGACCGGAGACGGCGAATACTTCCGACGGTACGATGGCGATCGGGACACAGTCCTCGGCATCTTTTCTCCTCCCTCCCCCCAGCTTCTCACCACGATGCTCCAGCAGGTTCAAGCTAAATCGGACTTCAGCAAAGTCTATCCAAAACAAGATTTGATCTGAGCGAAACATACAAAAAGGACGATCAGTGTGCGTGCGTCTGTGCGTGTTTCAGAAGGAGAGAAAGAGAGAAGGGGGGGGGGGGAGAGAGAGAGAGAGAGAGAGAGAGAGACTTGGAGGATATCGTTGCCCCTGTTGGTGACGGCGACGGTGATGGACTCCGCCAGACTTGACCTTCCTTGCCCTTCCGTGCCCTTCCTCCCCACATCAAACCTAGGGTTTTCCGAGAATATGCCCGTCCCCGAAAACAATTAACTGCACATCCTCGAAGCGACTCTCCCGATCGTCAATCACCCCAAATTCGTTGAATTCTTCACCAGATAGGGTTCGTATCGGATTTCGGCGAGAACACTCGAATCTTGTTCTTATCTCAGGGCTTTTTCCATCCGGCGAAGTGGACAATAAAACTCCCGCGATCTCTATAGGGTTTCTAAAGATAATTCTCCATCCCGAACAAGCTTATATTAGTTGACCAGGGCCGCCAATGGGAGGGCTTTGCGACCAAGCCCAGTCATCCCTGACGATACAGGCCCGGCCCGGCCAGCTGGAGAGAGAGAGAGAGAGGTATTGGGCTTTCAGTTGGGTTGTGGCCGTTTGAGGCCCAGACCTGGGCCAGAGATACAGGTCAGGTCCTGACAGCTCCTGACAACCACCGGCGGCGGCGGTAGAGATCTCGAGTGGGGATTGGAATTCCGTCTGTGTATCGTGAGAAATGTCTCAATGAAAAATCTCGGTGATATTAAAGTTTGTGTTGTTAGTAGTATGGTAAAGGGTCAACGGCTGCCGTTGAGAGAGAGAGATGGAGAGAGAGAGAGATGAGAGAGAGAGAGAGAGAGAGAGAGAGAGAGAGAGAGAGAGAGAGAGAGAGAGAGAGAGAGAGAGAGAGGCTCTGAGCCCGACCTGGCTCCAGGTTTCAAATTTCAAGCTCTCCCTCTCTCTGTTTCTCCCTCTGTGAAACACGTGAGGGAGAGGGGGGGAGTTTGGCGACGGCGGAATCGATCGGGTCCAAAAAGTTTCGAAAAGATTTGATTTTTATCTTTTATGTGGGCAGAGGGCGGGGACCTACTTACTCGAACGGTCCCAAGTTTCAAAAAACAAGAGCGAGAGCTGCTTCTCCCACGCTCCCACGCCGGCGTCGCTCCTCGCCGCCTCTTCACCATGATCCATCCCTACCCCACCAGTCCCCTATAAGTTTTAAATCTCCCCCCCTTCTCTCTTCCTTTCTCTCTCTACTGAGTTTCTGTGTGCGCCCGCTGATAGAGAGAAGAGAGGAGGAGAGGGGGGGGGGGAAAGAGGTGGAAGAAGATGAACTCGGCGCCGGACGCCATTGTCCACTACGTCCTCTCCCGGATGAGCAATGCCAGGGACCTGGCGAGCTGCACCTGCGTGTCGCGGCGGTGGAAGGAGACCGTCCCATACGTGCCGGCACTGTACTTCCCCCGCAACGCGTTCGAGGGAATGCCGCTCTCGCACGCCGACGCCGTCATCGGCCGCATGATCTCTCAATCCCTCCGCCTCGAGGATCTCGTCATCTACTGCCCCTTCTCCGCCGCCGTCCTCTCCTCCTGGATCTCTCTCAAGGCCCCCTCCCTCCGCCGCCTGGAGCTCCGCGTAGACAGCCTCGTCGAAAAGGGCGGTGGTAGCGCCGTCGCCTCCTCCGGCCGGCTCGACTGCATCTCCTCCGCCCGGGGATTGGAGTCCCTCAAGCTCTGGGGGGTCTGTCTCACCGCCTCCCCCAACTGGAGCCCCTTCCTGAATCTGCGGACCATGGAGATCGTCGGCGCCGCCTTCCGCGACCTCGCCCTGTCGGAGACCATCCAGGCCTGTCCGAATCTGACCCACCTCGCTCTGCTTGGCTGTGACGGCGTGGGTTCCCTCTCCATTGACCTGCAGCTGCTTGAGAAGTGCCGGCTCGACTTCCTCGGCCCCCGCAGCAGGACTCTCTCTGTCAGCTCCCCCAAGCTTCATGCTCTGGAGATCCAGGGTTTCAGCTGGGTCCTCCTCAAGCACACCCACTTCCTCCAGAGCCTCTCCATCTCCAAGACCGCAGGTTTTTTTTTTTTTCTTCTTTTTCTTTTCTTTGGCTACTGTACGGAGGTTGAAGACGACCCATGAATGTTCGTTCTCTACGGTTCCAGGTAAGGTGGAGATGGTGGAGATGGAGAAGCTGCCGGTCCTCCAGTTCCTGTCGCTCAGAGGGGTCCAGTGGAGCTGGAACGCGGTAAGCTCCGTCCTGCACTGTGCCTCCGAGGTGAGGCACCTGGTTATGAAGATCGAATTCAGCGGAGACTTCGATCGGCTCCAGCCCTTCCCTCCCGTTGACCTCGTCCAGTTCTTCAACGCCCACCAGAAGCTCCGGGTCTTCGAGATCCACGGCGCCATGTTCGCCGCTCTCTGCCAGAAGGACAGCCTACAGAGTGTGTGTACTTGATCTCTCTCTCTCTCTCCCTAGCTCGCTTGCTTCTTCTTCTCCCTCAAGTTCCCCGTCGGTTGACCAGCCGCCTCTCCGTCCTTTTGCAGCTGGACTCCAGATTTGGCATCCCATGGCTGGAGGAAGTAGTGATCACCGTGAGGTCTCCTCTGAACGCAGAGCAGAAGCTGAGCACCCTAGAGTCGCTGGTCAAGCATAGCCCCCGGCTGAGGAGGATGATCATCAGAATCTCCCAGATGAAGAACTGCAACGAGATGGCGGATGATTTCTTCGAGGACATATGCAGGTTCAGAGGCATGAATAGCAAGAAAGTCTACATCGAATGACGTCACAAGCTCTATCTAGTCCGGACGGACCAAGGCTGGCCGTTGACTAACGTTGACCAACCAATATTTCTCACCATTATTTTCATCGGGTAACTCTTTGATTCCCTCTTGATTCCAATTGTCTCGGAACTCAACGAGCCACTTTTGGCAGTGATTTGTCCGAAGAATTCTGAAATTTTCACCAAATTTTTACAATTCAATCGGCCTTGTGGCCGTCAAAAAGTCATCTTCGATCAAAGTCAATCCTCTTTTGCTACGTTGACAACGAACAATAGACTCAACTCATCAGGGAAGGGCGGACGTTGACCTTGGCATCCTGGCTTGTACTTCATTATACCGCAGTTGGTTAAATAATGGGTTGGAAATTACTGAAACTTGATAGACATGCTTCAGTCAGGAGAGTTCAAAACCATACTAGATTAGAGTTGACCAAAAGTTATGGCTGAGTTGACCTTTGACTTTTATGCGGCACTGGGTAGAAACCTTTTCAAACCTAAAAAAAAGAGGCATTCCACTGATTTTTGTTTTTGTTCTTATTTTCACCCGGACAATCTGGAGGTTAATTGGGTGTCAAAATCTGAATGGGCAAGACAAGGACCTTCATTCAACACCCATGAACAGAAGAAATAGACTAAACGTGAAGGGCACCTGATATAGTTTTAAAAAACTTTGGTGTTTGAGCAGATTGCAACATCTGGGGAATCACTCCGAGTCTTCAAACGCGGAGGAGATTTTCTTCTGGATCATCTCAACTCCAAGCCGAGGGGAAAACCTAGGAAGGACTTTCTGCAACACATGGTTATTTATAGTAAAGATATGGAAGAAGAGAGAAACAAAAGTATCACACATATCTATTGAAAAAGGAAGGGATGAAAGCCAAACATCCTCCAGAGTTTAAACTGATTCACAGTCTAAAACACTTACTGGCGATGAACAGCTGATAATTAATGAAGAAACTAATAGAAAAAAGAGATCTTTTAACTGCCCACTCATATGTTCCATCTGGGCAACATCAACAAGAACAGCAGAGCACCACAATAGAGATGACAGCAGAATAGTAGAAAGTACTTGTTGAGGCGGAATCCATGATACAGGATTGATTTCTTACTCATCCCGCACCAAATTAGCAAAGTTTTAAAAGCATATATGGTAATCATTGATGAGATATGGACGAGATCATAGTAGCCTAGTGTCTGAACACTAGATTCAGAGCTACATGGAAAACTGTCGAACGATTTAAGGACGTAATAATGCATGGTTTATACTAGGATTTATTGACTTGTCGTAGAGAATCCGGAAACAAATTGGATCAAAGACTATGAGTTGAAGAATATCATCTATTATAAGTACTTATCTGTAAAGTTTTTCATTTTAAATTGTACAGGATAAATGAAACCTTGGAAGGGATTTCGACAGATATTTCCCCAGAGCTTCCCATCGGGCCCCATGGAGGAAGAAATGGAGAGGAAGTGGCAGGAATGAGGAAATGGGAGGCGAAAGGGGGGGAGGCAAGCGACAGAATCATTAGAGTTTCTCCTTAAACACGCCCCAATCTCATCCCTAGGTCTACCAAATCTAGAAGAACAAGCGCATTGCATGAAGAAGCCCACATGATCCATAGATGGGAGGAAAGGAACGGATTACAGTTTCTCCATTCAGAGCAGAAGAAATCTGAGGGACTGATGATATCATTCTAGGAATACCCTAAAAATATCAGCACGTAGCAGGAAGTGGCGGACAGATATGGAGGAATACAGGAACATATGACGGGTGAGCGGAACAGAGAGAGGACCAGAAGGGAAGACTCTCACCTCGGAGCCATCAGAAAGAACGCGGGCGAGGACGGGTATCTCGTACTGGTAGAGCCGTTCCCACTCGGGATTCTCGGAGATATCCCTAACCTGCAACTGGACGGCGTGGAGGGACCAGGGCCCGCCGAGGAGGAAGGCCGTCTCGAGCTTCTCCTTGAGGCCCACGCACAGGCAGCAACCCTGCTTCGTATACAGCACCAGCTGCTTCCTCTTCCCGCCGCCATCCGAAGAGGCGGAGAAGGCAGAGGCTGCGACGAGGGGCCTGATCAACGGCCTACTCGCCCCCGCCGCCGCCACCCTCTTCCTCCCGAGGGAAGCCGCCGCCGCTGGCAGTCGCAGAGCAGCAGCTGTGGCCATCGCCGCTTCGATCCTGCTTTCGGAAGTCACAGATTTCGGATCCCAACACTACGTTCCTCACCAAACGGATTCCCTGCGGACCCGCGGGTCCACCTGACCGTTATCTGATCTTTTCACACATACACCCTTACTGGTAAAACTTCCGACAGTTCCAGACATAACTATGTGACATTTTTACCCTTCAAAAAAGTCTCCACCAATACTACTACCTTTGGCATCATCGAAACCCAATGTCTAAAAGCGGCAAAAAATAATTAAAAGAACTACCCATTAATGCCATTAATTAAAAACATGTTCCGCACTAGACTTATGACAGAAAAATGCTAAGGAAATACCCATCATACCCCTCTTATAGAAATAGACGCAAAAATTATTTTCATTACACTATTACCAAAGTAAAAAAATAATAATCAAAAGAATAGGAATCCAGCCAAAATTCTGTCTGTGTGGCCGTGCAGGAACATGCATCAATCAGATGCCTTCTTTGCCTTCTTTTTCCGGTCAACTCGCTTCTGATTTCCCAGACCCTTTCCCCCCTCTGCTTTACTAGGGGGCCGTTGACATGAGTCTGAGCATTCTGGTCAACTGTAATGGGGGCGGGGGGCTGAGCAGAGAGTGGCATTTTACCCAGTTATTGGTTCCTCTTCTTCTGGAGAAGCCTAGAGAGAGGAGCCCTGTCGGCAAAGACCAGTCTCCCATCGTCGGCCTGGTACTGGTAGCTCCATGCAGGGCCGAGGAACCATGAAATGGCGGCTCCGCCGAGCAGGCCCCCCAGCTGGAAACACAGTGCCAGAGTAGTGAGGACAGAAGAGATGCTGCGATTTCCGGCTCCAAGTGATAAGCAACGATGAATGGAGCTAAAGAGAGGTGACTTACATGGCCCCAGTTGTCGGTACCTTTGGAGAGGATCCCAATAATCTGAGTAAGATAAAAAGCCGTCATTTTTTATTTTTTTTTGAGGAAATGAGATTGTGATCAGCAGAAAATTTGATGTTACCATATTTAGGGCAATGACGTTAGCGATCTGCTGCATTTGTTCTTTGCCACCGCCGATTAGCTTCCGATGCCTCAATACGAACACGGCAAGGGATCCGACCTGTGAAAGAACATTAGTTAACATGATTGGATCAAAGCTACGGCAGAGGTTGCTCAGGTAGCAGAGCTGGGTTCTGTATTGTTGGAGGAACGCAGGGAGGAGTGCAATGAAGAATGGTCAGAGTTGAAGGAAAAAATACAGGCAGAGAGAGAGAGAGAGAGAGAGAGAGAGAGAGAGAGAGAGAGAGTAAGAGAAAGAACTAACTCTACCATTGCTTAAAATTCATCTTCTTTGATAATTTCTAAAACTAAATGCACCATCTATCCAATTTTTTTTAAAAAAAATCATCAAAATTAAAATATAAAATGTTAGGGTGACCTTATGCCTCACCTCCCTACTATAAAGAGATAAAGGATCCAATAAAGAAAACAACGAAGAAGTAAACAAATAACTCAGAGTTGAAGGAACATACTAGCCCAAAAATAGCTCCTGATGCACCAACGGAAGGTGATTGGCAGAACCTGTAGCTCAACATAGAACCTGTTTTCTCATAGAATTAGCATCAGAAAATCCACGAAGTCATGAACACATAGCTCCACTCTATAAAACGTGTAAATTAATTCCTACTTGCAATCGCTGAAGAGAAGTATATTGCAAGAAACCTTCTCGGTCCCGTAATTTTCTCCATAAGAGGGCCAATGGAGTTTAAAGAATAAGAGTTGACCTGAAACATAATGTCTTTTCATTCACGGCAATGCTCTAAGTGGATATAAAAATTTCAAAATAATTATCTACACAGACCATCAAATGCATAATGTTAGCATGTAGAAACGATGATGTCAGCAGTCTCCATACTTGTCCCTGAGCAATGAGGCCATTGACCTGCGCACATTCAACATTTACAGATCTGAGATTAGCGAAACGAGTTAGAGGAAGTATTTAGCTTTCAAACCTTAGCTCCCCACAACATCAACTTCCCTTGCGTAAGAATTTGGCCACCATAAAGCCTATAAAGATGATAAGATACTCAATTGAAATCATTAATAGAAAAACAAGAAAAAGATGAACGATGGAGAAGAAAAGAACGGAGAAATTATTCCAGAACGTGGTGCAATAGGATGGTTTGATTCAGTTAAGTTATGCAGACTGCAGTTTCCCTCTTTGTTAACATCAGATACAAGTGAACACATGAATTCCTCTTGTTCTCAGATAAAAGAAGAATAAAAGACAGAGGCTAGGATTTCCGTACCGAAGGTATGTGCCAATTTGAGAAGGTAAGGAGAATACACTCCTAAAAGTTTCTACGAATTCACGGAACATGGAAACCTCGAACGAAATGGAAACATTTAATGAAATTATTTCTATGACAAGCTGAAGGGAATAATTTCGAACGTTTAAATTGACGGGAACCATATTTTATGCAAGAACAAACTGAGGTATTCGAGTCAGAAAGAAAAAAATTAGCATCAGAAAATTTATGGAATATATTTTGTAGTTTTCAAAACATAATGCGAAATTCAGAATAACTTATTATATACAAATATGATTGAACTCCAGAGGATGAAACTTCAAGGAGCTAAGACACCATCATCACCATCATTCTCATCAACCATATAGTTGGGTGTCAGAAGATCAAGTGGAAAATATACTTTTTTTTAGGTTGTCCGGCCTTCTACTTGTCTGACACCAACACCGTACGAAGGGGTAAGAAGAACTTATCTAAAGTTTGGCGAGAAGAGAGTTCATTTAAAATTCTAATAGAACAAACAGCATGAAAACCCAGTTTTTCCGGTCAGGTCATGAAATAATGGAGCAATGGTCAAATATTCCCCGAGACTTCGAAAAGAGCCAAGGAGAAGGTGATAAGTTAGTCATAATGATTTGTGAAATTTTTAAAGGGTAAATTTTTCAAAGAAATGATCGATGATTATAAATGCGGAAATTACAAAACGACTAACTTTTGTGGTAACAGCTGATGTTAGTAAAAACCAAAAGTCAAGCCAATCTCAGGTCCAATACTGAAAGAATAGTGCGCATCTAGGTTGATACATAATAATTGCCTATCTATGGATGGTTTCTATGAGATGAAGAAAACGTGAAATAATAAAAAAATTATCTAGTAGTTTATCGATTTTCTCATTTAAATGAGCCGAGAACTCAATGTAGTACTTAAAACTAAGCTATAATGAGAAGCAGGACGAGTTTCTAAAGGTGACATGCCAGTGTGGTAAAGGTTTAAACATTAGTCCTTGTTAACATTCATTCCCACGCTAATGCTTACTTCTCTTTCCTGAAATTATGACTTACAGAATATTAGTAGCGAGAAGAATAGTAGTCCACAGCGGGCCTCTGTTTTTTTTGGAAGAATTTCCTTCAGCAGTTTCAAACTGCAGCTTGTCCTCATCACCAGGTCCTTTTTCTGGTCCTCTTCCACTGAAGAAATATATGAACGAAGAACATGACCAAGATAATGGAGCGGCTGTTGCTCCCAGAATAGAAGAAATGTCCAAGAGAAGAGGTCTTCCAATCTCATTCAACTTGGTCAAATAATCGGCATAGTAAATGGCCTGTTGGTTGTACACATGTAGAACATTAAGGTGCAGAACAAACGCGTGACAGAAAAATATGATTGTTGAGTCCTGATAACCTAATAATAGAAATATTTGGAGGAAGTAGCAATTATTTGGGTTTGCTAGTTCAGATTTATGTCTGGTAAAGTATATTTTTCACAATAAAATAAAACCTAGTACAGATAAAATGAAACCCTGTTCAGATTTTTCACATGGTAAAGTAAAGAGGAATCTTATGGCACGAAGATGAAACCTAGTACAGATAAGATTCTAAAGATACATAAATGAAACATGAAAACTTCATGAATGAACACTGATCTCAATAAACAAGAGGTTGTTTAAAAACGCGAGAATCTCTATCCCGTAAGACAATATTTGTGGACAGAAGCTAAGTTGAAAACAGCTGTCGTTTGAAAATTAGAAAGGCAGAAAATCGCTCTTTCCTCAACGTGTGGAAGGTAATAAACTAGAAAGAAAAAATCCCAAGAAACATTAAAGGAACGCAGGTCAGATCAATGACAACATAAGAAGATAAAAACAATGGAAAGAATACAGGAAAAAGCATATATTAGTATATTTGAATCCACTTCTCATTGGGAGGAGGCCACGTGACTCCTTTGATTCCCTTCATTTGGAAGTCATTCAAATAAATTTCAAGGGAAAATGGATCCTCTGAGATTTATTTCCCAAGAATGACTAACCAAATATTTCTTCGTAGGAGGGAATCGGTGAGATAATTCTGAGATATTGGTTTTTCGGGTCAAATGCATGATTTCCTCGTCCAGCAGGCCTGGGACCCATGCTTTGAGCAGGGAAGGACTATGAAAGTGATCAAAGGATGGGCCCATTTCATCCAGAAATATACTTTTGGTCATTTTCATGTTCCCTTGTCTACCCAACGTAGACATATACACATGTATAGCGAGAGAGAGAGAGAGTGAGAGAGAGATGAAGAGAGTTTCGATCACCTGCCCCGAGAATGGTGCGGAGGGGCGGAGGAGATTCTGCAGCTCCCGGGTGGCGTGGAGATGAAGGGCGCGGCCGAGGCGGACGCCCAAGGCGCCGGCAGCGAGTCGGGATGGAGAGACGCTCGCTCCAAACGAGGAGAATTCCCTGTGTGGGAGGGCGGAGGGGGGAGGGAGGTGAGGGAAGCTACCCGCTGCCGCCATGCTCGACCTCCCAGAGCGGCGGATGGACGACAGATCGAAGACAAGGCCTCTCTCTCTCCTCGCCACGAAACGAATAAACCGGTCTGAGGTTCGGCCGGTTCGAAAGACGGGGTTCGACCAGCCATGACCCCCTATCCTGCCGGTCCGGTCCGGCCCGGTGAGAGAACCCGGTTCATAAGCACCCTGTTCAATCGGGTCTGGTCCAAAATCATTAGCAGACACCCTTCGTCTTCTCCCGTTGCGATTTGACGGAAGAGGAAGGGTTGCGCTCTCCTCGCGGCGAGAGGTCTCCTGTACCTGCTCAAGAGCCGCCAGGCATTTGACCGAGAGGGATTAGAGATGAGCGGGTATAGTAAGGAGCAGCTGCTTGCTCGCCTTCAGGTGTGAGAACTATTATGATCTTCACTCTCTCTATCTCACCTCTGCTTGTGGTTCGTGTGCTCCATTTATTTCATGTTTAAGAAATTAATATATCTGTTAAATTGGAATTTTATTTTCAAAGAGGTGTGATACAAATGATTTACTGGGGAATGTTACATAATTTTAGAAGAATGAAAATTTACTCAGCAGATAGGCTGAGGTATTGGAGTATGCTTATCTGCGATTTCACTGTTGTTTGTATGCTTATCTAAATAACTTGTAGCCTTGAACTCTGGGTTATATTGGAGTTTTAGTGGACCGGTTATGCCTGGCATTGTTTTCTTATGATTAGGTAATTGGTGTCTAAATAATGTGTATATTTTAAGATCACGCCTATGCAACAACCGCTTCGGATGCCCAGGCGACCAGGCTGCCTAGATGAGCAGCCCAGTGGGGCCCGTATATGCTGAGTTTCTGGTAACTCTCCTCCTGCTAGCCAAAGGTATATAGGTTTAGTTTTGTTATTGAAATATCCCTAGGGAATGTAGGGCTGTTACATCAAAGTACCATTCACGTTGTTAAAATGGTTTGTAGAAGCACAAAATCTAGAATGGATTGAGTTCATAGATGTTTATGTAGTGGCAAGCATTCATAGATTATTTGAGCATGCCATCTCTATTTCTTGGCATAGACGTGCATGGGCCTCTGACAGCCCTTGGTTTGTTTTCATTCCTCTGATAGAGAACTTCGTCCGTAACAATCATCCTTGTCTTCGGTTTAAGATTTCGTTTACCAGATATCTGTCTGTTATTCTGACAAATGGGATTTCACCTTTTTATCTTCAGGAGCTAAACATTAATTTTGCTTCCTATGATCATCCTGCCGTGTTGACTGTTGAGGCCCAGGTTTGTATAAGGGACATCATTTGTTTTATCCTTACAACACAGATAGATTGATATATTGGAGACTATTGCTTCTGTTTTCAGGCAAAATATGTTGGACACTTAGGAGGAGCATTGAGTAAGAACCTGTTTCTGAAAGTAAGTGATCAATGAAGGTTAATTGTGGCACTTGCCTCATTTTTCTACTGACATGACCTTTGGTGTCATTCCTCTGTGGAATGTAGGATAAGAAACATAGGTTCTATGTTATTTCTGCACTCTCTGGCACCAACGTTGATCTGAAAGGTACATCTTGTGTCATTATCCTGCTGGTCTTTGGTCAACTCAAAGTGGTGCTACAGTAGGATATTCTAGTTAATATTTATCCATCATTTGCTTTTCATGTGTTTACTTGATTTTATTTTTATTTCCATAATGGAACTACAAAAAACAGTTCTATCCCAGCGTCTTGGTTTGGGGAAAGGAGGTCTCCGGATGGCACCTGAGGAAGCTCTGCAGGAGATACTTCAGGTGGTTATGGATATCACTGACATGGTGGCCAGATGTTTTTGTCATTTTCTGAAGACTATTTTCTTTTTATTTGTAATTACTGACTCAAACATATGCGTCCTTAAAATCAATTCCACGGTTGGTATGCTGCACAGTGGCAGGCCCTATGAGTAGAAAATGGTTTGTTGGGCTTAAGAATTTATTTATTCTTCCCTTTTTATTTATTATATTGCATCTTTTTAGTCATCTAGAGATTTTAATTATGCCTCAAGGAATGGTCTTCAGATGTCAGTGTACTGGCCATAAATATCTTTGAATTTTTTTCCTATGATTAACCTTGCAGAACTATGGCTCATTTTTTTTTCGAGTCGGGAAGACAGCCTGGTTTTGATCTTTTTACTTCTGACATAGCTGCATAGCTTTTTAAGTCTGACGTCCTATATTTCAACGACCCATTTTTATGACTGCCAGCTTCTTCTAGGTTGCTCCCAGCTCCCAATAACCACCAATGTAGCTGTTATAGTTTTCAGTCCCTTTATCTTTAAAATTTTGCTAGGATACATGAAAAAAGTGTTTTCTGCTATATTCTAACATCTACAAAAATACCTTTACGATATGATTCATCCTTTTCCTGGCAGGTATCATTGGGATGTGTTACTCCATTCGCTTTGATTAATGAGTCTGCACGGTATATGACTTGCTCTCAAGAACTTGTTGAAAAATTGTGCATACATTTTTTTCACGTCTGCTTTTATTTTACCTGAATTTGCATCTCATCTCGAGGGAATATTCTTAAGGTTAATGACCTTAATTTTTCTGAGAAGTCATTGACTCCATTACATCACTATGAGAACAAAATAAGCTTCTGCCCATATCTTTTTTGTTTGAATTTTATGGCAGTGATCAGTTTGTTTGCCCTTTAGGTATTGTACATATCTGGCCCCTTGCTGTTTTATGACCTGGCATTTTGGCTTGCTCGTGTGTTGATATAAGTTATTTTTTTTCATTCTATTTCATTTGAGAACACTACGTCTTTGTATCTGTGTTCTAGTTGCATCAATCAGTGTGTGAAACTCTACCATGGAATCCTGTTTCTGTTTTGACCTATCACTTTTTTTAAAAAAAATTTATTCTTCAATAACAAAGCACAGAAAGGTTTCTTGGAGTTGATTATAACAAAGCACAGTAAATTGGAAGCAAGTAAATCCTGATTCTGAAGAAACTGTAAATTAGTCACTGTCAAGAGGTCATAGCAGTAATTACTGACTGTTCATGTAAATTAGTTATGCAAATCCTGATCCTGGGCATGGATGGCTTTTCAAGAAAGCTGATCCTGGGATCCTTAGTTTTTCATTTCTAAAGTTGAGTTTTCGGGGTCATTGTGTCAATGGACTCGAAAGCTTATATAAATAATGTCAATCAACAAAATCTGGGAAGATGAGAAAGCCTTTTCGTAAAGTCATATGGTTCTCGGCGGGAGTAAATGAGAGTGGCATCAGAAATATATAATTCTTTTTATGAGGGTAACAGAGTTGTTCGATATTTACGGGTAGAAAGTATGCTTCAAAATGTAAACCTTTATCTCAATGACTAACTTTTGAAATTTACTCCAGGAGACTCTCACTTAGAAAGATTGAATTGAAATGATGCTTGTATCTTCTGGCTAAGGCAATTATGCAAGTTTATGCATCCAAGTTGCACTTAACTGGTGGTTATCATTTGAGGATACAATGTTCTTCAAAAAAAATGTATTTCACGTTGAAAAAGGAAACATGGATTGTAGAGCGTTTAAGATATTGAAAGATGATTTATTCTTAGGAGCATTCGTGATACAGGAGTTGATGCTCCATTATGGACTGTTCCTCCATCTTTCAATCAGAGTGAAGAGATGTCTTGAGTGGCTAACCTGGAGTGAGGGGAAAGTTTTTCATTCTGATTAGGGGTCAGAATGGTTGCCTCCCTGTACATTTTGTTCAGTGAAAACACAACATCGAGGTCTTTACAGCCAATGGAAGAGGTGACAGTATTGCCAGCTGTTCTTCCTTGTTGAAGAATCCTCACACATCTCAATCAAGACTCAAGATTACTCAATGTCTACCAAATATCAAGAAAAAACATTTGACTCTTAGAAGCAACAAAAGATAATGCTGTGACCCCTGGATACTGTTTGGACACGCAAAGTTGTTCTTTCAACCTCCATTAGATTTTAACTGAGTTCTCCAACAAAAGACCTTTGTCTTCACTTCTCATCGCATACAGTGGATGGATGATTCAGCACATGGAAGAAGGGCCAGTGGATGATGCAGGAGTTTGCCAGCAACTTTCTTGATCACATCCGTCTCCCTGGGCTTTCTGGTAGGATCGTAATTAATGCTGTCCCTTCTGAGAAATGGAGAGTAATCCTTCCCCCAAGTGATGATGCCGCATCATCACTCACTCAGCCATCTTCATCTATCCACGGTGATGTGCTCCAAAAAACTCGAAGGAATTTAGTACCCAGTGTGGCTTATCTTTTATTCCTTTCAAACCGTTAATCAGATATTCGCTTACGCCTTCCTTCTCTCTTTCAAATCCGCTACTCATCAAACTCTCTAGGAAAGGTGAAAATTCAGTTATTTAGTTGCTGAGAAGCATTTGTTAAAAGATTTTCTGATGTCTGTTATGATATTTTATGTTTGCTGTGGTTTTCAGTTTCTTTCTTTTTTTCTTCATACTAGCTTCTCAATTATGATAACTAATTTATAACTTCCAAATCTTGCCTCAATCAAGATATGTGTTGATTCCTTTTCCTGTTGCATAATATTGTCCAATTTTAGCGTTATCACTTGTGGTCGATTTGATTTAGAGTAGTAGCTGCAGTTGATGGCCATACTTTAACATTTACTCATTTTATCAGTCCTTTCATGATTGAAAATGGCTCCTAGACCCCCAGCTTGATAACGTTTTCTTTTGATTTTTTTAGATCTGTTTCACTTCTTCTTGACCAAGGATTTAAAGCTCATGAGTCATGCTTCTTTCATCCGCTTTCAAATGAAATGACCATTTGTAAGTGAGTTACTTATTGGTTTACATGCACCTTATTCTTGAAGATGATGACTTCAATGATTGTTTGTGAAAATTTTCATGAATTTACTGAATGTAAATTTACATGGCAGAATACATTTACTCCGAGCGACTTGCTTTTTTATAATAATACTTGTTACACGTGGTCGTGGAAGGGATTGCTCTAGCCTTTGTGCAGAAGTTTGATCCAATTTATTCTGAACTTCTAGAGTCATGTGTGGCCTGCTCCTCCAGTTTCTCTTGTTGAGAACAGAGCGGATCTCTGATTCTGGCATCTCTAAAAACTTGTTAGGGTCGAATACAGGACAAGAAATGTTATCTTTTAAATCAGGGGGCTCGCTTGATTCTGCCTACTTGATCATGTACCAACCCTTTTTCTTCAATGTCCTTCCTCTTAAAAATCTCCAGATATCTGAGGACTTTGCGTGGTTCAATATCTTTGTCTCATGCTCCGTCCTATACCTGTTATGTCTTTCTGAGCTGTTAGACTCCATGACTCCACCTATATTCAAGGATTAGATGTGTTTGCCTTTTCAACAAGTTCTGGCGGAAACTTTTACTGTCTTACTATACTGTGTTTTTTAAATGTGACATGCCACTATTATAATAAAAAGCAGCCAGAGATTAAAGGAAACTACACATGAACAAAGAGAAGAGAAAAAACAGTACGAAGACTATATAACAGGGCAATACCCTAGAAGATTCTCTTGTCATCTACCAATTTGACGGACTGAAGGGAATTATCGAAGGAGATTCCCTTCTAATAAATATTTTAAATTTTGATGGGTGATTATTCCTCCAAATCATTTCTCACTACCGAAGATGTCATTCTTCATCCCCTTAAGTTTAGCATCCCATCTCCTATGTCTTTCGCCATCTTGATTTCGTATCACTGCGGCATGATGATGTTTATCAGTTTCTCTCCCAATTTGGTTCCTTCTAAGCCGTAGGTTCCAATTAGCATTTTCCCAAATCGCAAAAATGAGCTTTGGTTTCTTCCTACAATAGTGTGTGTGGCGTTATGCAACCAAAATGCAAGGAGTGCTAACCAAGAGGACCCTTCTGCTTTACTCCAAGTGGATAGCACAGGAATGTATCTTATGAATTAGAAAATTCATTTCTTGTATGTCTGTTTTTTTTTATATTTAGAGTATGGGCAAAAGATTTTGCATGATGTCATTGAATACCGTATTGGTATCAAGCCTGGAGACCAGTATACTTCATTCAGTCTCAGAGTTTCACCAGTCAGATTGACACCCGTAAAGAACACATCTTTATAAAAGTAATTGTAAATTTTTATAAAAGTTCATTCTGTCTCAGGGTAACCAGTCAGATCAATACTTGTAACTTTTATACTTATGCTTTCCGGAGATAACCCATCTCATTGCTAATCAGTATTTTCTTGACTGTTTTCGATCAGCTGTTAATACCCGTGATCTTGACAAATTTCTGATCTCAATTGGACGCAATCCAGCATATGTAGATCTCGAGGTAATAGTTTTTGTGTTTCTTCGCGTGTTTCTCTTTTGTCATTTCATTGGAAAATCCTTCAACTATACTGGGAGTAAACATCAGTTTACGTCTTGGTAGGCAACTCCTTTGGTAGGGAAGGATCAACCACCTGATCTTGCTTCTCTTGTGCCATCGGAAACTCCGAGTTTGGTTGGCGCGCCAGAGAAGGTGGTACAGAATCAAGCTCCTGATGGTAATCATGCACCAGCAGAGAAAAAAGGTATCAAGTCTGCAGGTAAATAGATTTTACCTGATAATAAGATTTTTTTTTCATTGTTTATTGCGAGATTTTGTTCGAAGCTCATTCCCCAGAGTTATATGCATCATATACGTATAAATCTTATTGAACACGTGGTAGAATTATAATTTTATGTTCCTCATCTTAGAAAATTATAGCTCCAGAAAATTATTAACATGAAAATTATATAAAATCAGAAGCATCAATATATATATATATATAACCCTGGAAAAAGCAGTTGCAACAATATCCTATTTATTTGATATCTATAGCTCTAAAAAAATTGTTAAAATTCTTTTTAAAATGCTTTTCTACCGGATAATGTTTAATCTGACCCTCTTATTTTGAATATAATCTATTTTGGTCGAAGATCCGTCAAGATCAGGACCCAGCAAGTCCAAGGCAGCCGCCAAGGAGAAGACAACAGGCAGTGCGAAGAAGTTCGTTGCAGCCACGGATGTTGGGAAACTCATTGATGAAATCATAAATAAGACTTGTGCTTCAGTACTTATTGAGGTGATCACCACAATTGTTCATCATATCGTCTGATGCCCACGTTGGTTGACTGAATCAAGATTCTAATGCCTGAAACGAAAAAAAATAAAATGCAGGTCAACAAGGATTCCGAAGATCAATCAAAAGTCAGCCTAGGCCATCTACTCGAGAAGGTCAGCCAGAAGATCGGGCCTGATTTGGAGAGCATAGCTGTAAGTATTTTAATAGAATAATACAAAAAAATATCATTAAATTCAAATATTTACTGGGTCACATGGTTCGGAAAAATCATGCATAGATTGTGATCTCTTATGAATGTTTTTTTTTTTAAATGAGGGATTTGTTACATTTGATGCAGATGAGCTTCAAGAACGCAGCGTACATCGAAGGGTTTCACGCTGGTCTGCATAGTGTGATCGACAGAGGCATTCAGGGCTTGTCATCCCCTAGGTAGCAGTAGTCTCTTTCAATCTCTTATCGTTATAAGTTTTTTTTTTTTCCCCTGTTGGTCGTAATCAATTGGCAGTATATTTATTTTTATAATTTCTTAATGCCGCTGTGGAGAATATTTATTTTTATCAGATTTTTTGGACGGTAAAATCTATGAAATTATTCGAATATTATACGAGCCGTTGGTTTGGAGGGCCTTTTATTAATTATTCTGCATAAGAAAATGGTGAACCATATTTTCGTACATTTTCCCACGCGTGCGAAAATGTGTTCGCCCGCGTCGATGAGCTTCGCACGAGTTACTTCTGGCAAGACGGGAGGCTGCCGTCGTTTTTGTACCGAGTCGGCGTGCCACGTGCGACGCAGCGGATTATGCGTGTCACAATTGACAGCGTACAGCACTGCGACCATGGTCTTACGTGGAGCCCCAATTTGTCGCGTCTTCTGCTTCCGTATGTACGGCGGTACGCGGATTTGAGTCTGATCTGGGTCCTCGGTGAATTGAGTGGGATGTCGCACCGGCCCTAATTCAAAATCCCGCCGAAGCTGAATTTGAATGAGAGGCAATTATGTATTTTCAATATAGATGAACGCCCTGACCTCAGAGTATAAATATTGAGCTAATGTCATGTTTCTCATTGGGATGGTTTTCCCCCCCTCGGTGGATCTTCGAGGGTATGTGCACCCCTACCTCAACATCAAGTATCCTGCGGGGGCAAAGGCTGCGCGGTGGTCCGCACGATTGGAGGCGCGCGGTGGCGTGCAGTGTCGTTCTGAATGGTGCCGGCACGGCTGGAGGTGCGCTGTGGCTCGCGGTGCTTTGCTGGACGGCGTCGGCACAGCTGGAGGCATTGCAGCAGAGGTGCGGCACCGTAGCGCAGCCGCGCAGGCGGCATGCACTTGCTCGGCACTTCACAGCGCTGGATCGAGGTCACTAACAGCGGAGTGGCCTGCGCGAGGATGCTTGCGGAACCGTAGGTGACGACGGTCGCGGGAAGACCTGGAGTGTTGCCGGCGGAAGCCAGGCGATCGGTTGTGCGGCCTGCAACGCGCAAGCGGTGGAGGCTCTCGCGTGGAAGTGCATGATCCGGGAGGATGGCAACGACGGGGCGTGACGCGTACAAGGTGCTCTCAGCCATGTGCAAGAGGCGCACGAAGGCGCGGGTTGCCACGCCGTAAGCAGCGGAGGCTGAGGCGTTAGAGCGCATAACCCGGGCGGATGTCATCAAGGGGGCGTGACGCAGGCAAGGTGCTCGTCGGCCGGCGCGAGAGGCGCGCGGAGGCTGAGGAGTGGGAGCGCGTAATCCGGGCGGATGTCATCAACGGGGCGTGACGCGGTCAAGGTGCTCGTCGGCCGGCGCGAGAGGCGCACGGCGGCAGGGCTTTCCACGCCTTGAGCAGCGGAGGCTGTGGCATTGGAGCGCGTAACCGGGGCGGATGTCATCAACGGGGCGTGACGCGGTCAAGGTGCTCGTCGGCCGGTGCGAGAGGCGCACGGCGGCGCGGCTTGCCACGCCGTGATCAGTGGAGGCTGAGGCGTGGGAGTGCGTAACCCGGGCGGATGTCATCGACGGGGTGTGACGCGGTCAAGGTGGACGTCGGGCACGTCGTATGCGGTCAAGGTGCATACGACGGCACGGCTTGCCACGCCGTTAGCAGCGGGGGCTGAGGCGTGGGAGCGCGTAACCTGGGCGGACGGCATCGACGAGACGTGACGCTTACCAGCGCCAGCAAGGGGAGAACTCAATTTGGACTGTACGTAGCGCCGTATATCAGCGCCGGCACGCGGAGAACCTTATTTGGACTGCACGTACCGTCGTGCTTTTGACCGGCGCGTATCAGCGCCGTCTCGGGGAGAGCCCTATTTGAGCTCAGCGAAGCGGCATACTTTGGACCAGCGCGGGGGGGAGCCAATTTGGACAACACGTGGTCTCCTGCTTGGACGCCGCGCGTATCAGCGCTGCCATGGGGAGAAACGTCTTGTGTGAACTCGTGGCGGCGAGGATTCCAACAGCGGAGCATGCTGCTTGGACATAAGGCCCATATATCTGTTTCTCCCCATCTCATATCGGCTTTGTAAAGCTGATCAATCGTATAATGCCAGATAATAACGTAGGATTTTCCTAGTTCCACCCAACAATCCCATCATGGATGAAAAGAAGATCTGATAGACTCGTCCGTCCTCTCAGCTGATGTGGTCTCCCGTCGTCCTCATCCATTTGTCGTTGGCGAGAAGGTGCCCGTCTGAGCCCGGCGAATGTCGGAATGTCTGGTGAGCACAGTGCCAGGCGCCCGTCAATGGCCGGTGGAAGAGTTTTGAGCCCGGACGGCTTCTCCTTGCGAATCCTCGTCCACATACTGTAGGGAAATCAAATCAATGGCCATGGAGAACTGAGGACTGCTGCCTTGATAATTTTACAGATCTGAGAATTGTGATTGAGCTGCGTTATGACGAACAACGCTGCACCTGGATCAGAACACAGAGCGCAACATCTTTTTTTTTTCTTTTTTTTCTTTTTTTTTACTATAAAAGCGGAGGAATGGGATCTGCTTGGGATAATTCATTAAGCGATGTCTACATATGAGAAGAAAGAACCCGAATGGGCATTTACAGGGAGAAGAGGCAGGGTGTTCACTTGCGTTGAGATACCCACCGTGCCCCTGGCTGCTGTGGCGGAAGAACGGACGTTCTAGACGAAGACGTCGCAGCGATTTAGGTCGTTCTGGGTTGCGCTTGTCTCATCTTATGGAGGGAGCTGATTATTTTATGGAAATCAGAGTTCCAAGAAGAGCGGAGAGAAACTGGGCAGGCCCGATTCCATTCTCAGGCGGATCAGAACCAGTTCACATCCAACAGGACGAGAAGGAGAATAAGAGCTGTCTCTCTAACCATTCATGAAGACGCATATTAAATTTACAGGGAGTTCTCGAATGGAGCTTCTCGGACTCCCAAAAATGCGAGCCCGAGTGAGCTCGAGCAGCAAGGAAGGACTCCAAAAGGGTGACTGGAAAATCGGGACGGAAGTGTAACTATCCGTCCCCCGATTTCAACAGGAGTGCGAAGGGAAGGATCGAATGTGGCGATGGCGGTGGTCGCCGGCGGTGGGCAATTCCCGTTCGATGAGCCAGCGGAGGTGGAGGAAGTCGTCAACGGAGCACGGCAGCTTCAGCGGCCCGGTGGAGGGGAAGCCGTAGACGTCCTGGGCCGCCTCCAGCAGCCCCCTGAACAGTGGGTGGCGCAGATACGATATGGGGATCATGAAGCGCCGGAGGGTGGTGCCGCCGCCGTCGTCGAGGCCGACGGACACCACCATCCAGCCTTTCTTCACCTTCTCCCTCCTCTTCTCCAGCATCTCCTTCCACATCCTGCGCTCCTCAATTTTCATGGGGGAAGTGAGAGCCCGAGGGACATCGAAGTGGGGATACTTTATACCGCATGGAGGCCGAACCAGAGGGACAACAATGCAGTTTTCTTACTTCACAGTGCGAAAAAACTATTCTTTCTAAGAAATTATTCCCCCTGGATTCGTGGCTACATAAATCTCATTTATTCTGTATAATAATGATATTAATGGTACGTTGAAAAGCTTGACTAGAAAGGGCTCCTACCGTCAGGCGATTGTATGCTGTCATCCTGCACGGTCCACCCCATCCCATTTTCTCTCTCTCTCTCTCTCTCTCTATCGCCGTACAATTGGACGGAAGCATTGAGTCACATCGGAAGAACGTACGCCGATGGATATAAGGGCCTTCATGAGATTTTCCCTCGGCTTGTCTGAACCCAGTTGAACGCTCGACTGTGCCGACATAGCCCCATAAGCCGCCATTTTACCCCGATCGAGTCCGGGATTCGTGCGGCTGCCGGCTCAGGGCGGCCGATACCTCCAGCGGTCTCTCTCTCTCTCGACGGCAGATTTTTATGGGTACGTTCGCTTCTGAAGCCACGTGTCACTACGTCAACGATCATACTTATATGGCACAAACGGGGTTCGAGGGGGGGTTATGAGAGTTGGTTAACTCCGTTGACCCAATATTGAAAGTTCTTCTATGATTTATTGTGGAAAATTAAATCATAATTTTAAACGTCTGCCTTTAGGAATCATGTAATCATGTAAATGATCATATTCTGTCTTTTGGACATTGATTGGGACGAAGCTATGTAAATAAAGTTTTTAATAAAAAAGTTCAAATTCTCAAGAACATTACTTTTCTTAGATATTCACTCATGGACAAATGGTAAAGAGGCAATTCTTATAATTCGAATATAAACAAGAGGCGTTCCATCTTACTTTTCTCAGCCCCTTCGATGTTGATTCCTTAATATCATTAGATCATATGAAATTGTCTTGTTAATTTTGATCAAAGTTTGCAAATTCAAACCATGTTGAAAGTAATGTATTTTTCACTTTTCCCTTGATGTTATAAGGGTTCTTTTTCCTTACCAATGGGACCCCCAATATATGCTCCTCTAAAAAAATTAATTTATTATCAAATGCTGTTATGTTTTGATGTGATAATATCATGCTCATAATTAAATTATTGAGAACTAACACCCAATTTTCTACTTACTATTCAGTAAATTTCTTATCAACTTGGTGATATGTGAATAAATACAAAATAAATCCAAGGGAAAATTCTAGACCGTAAAAATTGTCATTATAACATCTTGGTGATTATTAACGCTGTGTCTCAATTTTAAAATGTATGTAAAGTTAATCTTATAAATATTTTCCTATTTAGGACTGCTTCTCTTAAGGATAACCAAATAAATCAGGTATTATTTCAAGGTCTCTTAAGACAACTCATGACTATCTTTTATGGACCCTACACAAATTATTTTAAAGAAATTATTCCAAAGTTAAGCCTTAAACGTTAATCACATGACATGTTGCAAATTTGAATTTTCCATAATCTTTTCCAAGTCCCTAGTTTGACACTTAACTAGAGTATCAAAGCATTGTGTGTCTTACCCCACTAATAGACTAGAAATAGTATGAAACTCCATTTCATTTTGAAGTTATCAGAAACTTCCTCACACATGCTTCAATACACATTTACACTACATCTTCATCTTTATGGGGGTAACATTAAATATCAACACTATAGTTAAATTTTATATGTTCTAATACATTCAAGGACTTTCCATACTATTATTTATAAGATGTGAAGATGTACTTATTGGCTCATGACCTATTTTGGGTAACACAAACAAGCATTGAAAATGAAAGATGTATAGGGTAGCACCAACAAAAAAATGAGTTGGGAATCTTAGAATGATTGCAACATATTCCATGTCTGGTAACAGCCCCCAAATATGAATTTGGAGGTTCTTATGGCATTTCCTAGGGTTAGATGGAGTTTTAGATTATGTCAGTGTAAAAGACATCCAAGGGCAACACTCTAGAGACTACATCTTATCGATTTAATCTCTTGATTTTACTCACGCTAAATTTTTTTTAAATATTTGGTATTAGGGAATCTACCCAACAAATCTAAGAAATACAGTTTTCATGTACCCTCTCTCTCTCTCTCTCTCTCTCTCTCTCTCTCGCTTACGTAACATAAATAGAGACCCTCAACCCATCGTGGTGCTCCTGGGAAGAATGAGCATGTCAAGTACATCTGAATCCTGGTTATGTGCTGAAACCACCAGCCATCACGAGTTCATAGCTGATCGCACCGCGCCTGCTGGAAAGACAAATTGTCTCCCTCTAGATCGTAGAGCATGTGGAAACTCTGCTGCTGGAAGTTGCCAAGGATGGAGATCCCGCTTGACCCCATCACCATAAGACACAACTGCCCGGAGCTCGCGTCCGCCGCCATGTAGTTCTCCGGCGACAGCTCCAGGTCCGCCCCTTCGAAGTGGAATATTATCTTCGGCAGCTCAAGCGCCGCCGACGGCGCGCCCGCCGGTACCTGGAAGCATAGATCGAGCCCGACGGACGAGCCATCTCCGAGTGGGAGATTCACCTGCGATAGAAGCGCCTGCTTCAGCAGTCTGTAGCCTTCGAACTCCAGGTAGGTGATGGAGGTCCCCGAGTCTATGATGAGTCCCCCGGTGCCATCGTCGTTGAGGGCGAAGGTGGTGACCCGGATCTTGAGGGCTCTGGCTCCCACTGTGATGCCCTTCAGCGAGAGGTAGTAGAAGGTTGGCTGATTTGGGTTTCGAAGAAATGGCGTTGACTTTGCTTCAGCACTGATGTCTAAACTGGCGAGGGAGCCCAGGAAGAGAGGGCTCGTCTTTGTCTCCTCGAGCCTGGTGAGGCAGTAGGAGAATCTGGCAATACGCAACTGAGAAACAAGGGAGAGTGGACCCCTGCCGAGCCCGACGAGGCCGGCCGCCTGCTGGAACCCCTCCCCCTGGTTGGAAATGCCGCACCCAAAGCCGACGCGGGGGACGAGGACTCCTTCCCCCATGGTGAATGTCTCTGTGGCAAGAACTCCCTGAGTGGAGGAGTAGTCCCCGTAAGAGTAAATGTACTCGCAGCCAGAGCGGCAGTCGGAGACCGGGAGGGCCCGGCAGAGTTTACTGGAGCAGGGAAGGCTGACGTAGGTCTTGGAGGCCGAGGGGTTGAATATGGCCGTCCCCTGCCGGTAGCAGTCGGCACAGGGCTGACACTGCGTCCATATAAGGTCGCTGCCGGTGTCGATGATCGCCGGGAAGGGGACCGCGGGGGTGCCGATGGCAAGATTCACGATGAATTCACCGCTGCCAGCGGTGACCGGTACCTGGGCCGCAACCAGGGCGTTCATCCGCTGGCTGCCCCGCCTCAGCGCGCGCTGCATCTTCTCCAGCCAGGTGAAGTTGCCAACGGAGTCGACGTGGGTCAGGTCGACCCGGGTGCCATCCGAGAGAGTGCTCCCCGGGGAGACGGCGACTGAGAGGGCCCAGATCAACATAACGAGTGTCCTGGAAGGGTCCATTGGCGGCTCTTCCTGCTCTGCAACCGACAGAAAACTGAACACTTGATTCGCTGCACCGAAGGGTCGGCATCGGCCACTTACATTAAATACGAGGCCTGCAAGAGTAGGGGGTGCCACCCTTCCCGTGTTCAAGAGCCCCTGGTGAGATGTAGGTTGGACCTCTGTCCACTAGGTGTTCTGCAAGAAAGGTGAGGGTATGCGAGAAGATGATGGCCGGTTAGGGTTTGGTGGCAAGTCTCGACCCTTGAAATACATCACTTAAGGCCAAGAAAACTTTGCAAGTCCAGCCTGGACGTAGAGGAAAACCATGCCGTCTCTCTCTCTCTCTCTCTAGATATATATATACATAAATATTTCTCTATCTGGTCGTGTGTGCGTATATATATGAGGTCCTCAATATTGCATATGGAATAGTGGATATGGAGTCTCGTATGGACACAGAAAAATCGAACATAGAAAAATCGAAGAGACCTGAATAAAACGTATTAATTATTTATTCTACCATGTTTCTTATTTTAGAAAAATATAAATAAATTTATTGCCGATTGTTAGAACCAGATTAATCATGAACATGACGCCGGTCGAGACCCAGTTGCGACTGACGGCTGTCGGAGACGAAGGTTCGTCCGTATTCTTTTAGGTACGGCCTGGTCCATTCTTTTGTGCTTTTCTCTATTGACCACGGAAGTGCCGTGCAAGAAAGAACCTCGAAGAACGGTACACGGGTTCCGGGAAACTCGGGTAGACGACAAGGGAAGTCCGGGGGGAAGAGACACGTATATATTGGTAGGCGGGGAGCTTAGCAGGTACCCAAGCACCCAGAAGAAAGAAGAATGAAGAACCAGGTGAATCATCGAGCTGAGAAGATGTCAGAAGATCGTTTAGATGTGGAGGTGGCCATCGTTGGGGCCGGGATCGCGGGGCTGGCCGCAGCACTGGCGATGAAGAAGGTCGGGATCAAAAGTATTGTGGTGGTCGAGAGTGCCGCCGGTCTCCGGTCAACCGGCGCCGCTCTCGGCCTCTTCCCCAATGCCTGGAGGGCTCTCGACGTCCTCGGCATCGCCCACAAGCTCATTCCGCTCTATCCGCCACTTCGAAAGTACTCGTTTCTCTCTCTCTCTCTCTCTCTCCACCCCCTTTCCCCCATCTCACTCTCTCACTCGCTTACGATGGTACTCATCTGAATTGTGATATTATGCAGGTTTCGAGTAACCCACACGAGCACCGGAGCAACGCAGGAAGTATCCTTAGATGGAGCACCAGTCTTGTAAGGCCAAGCTTGTTCCCTATGTTCTCCGACTATCGCGGATTTATTGGCTAACGTCTCTGTTGGATGCTTTTCCTGCAGGAGGGGAATGGAAGTGAGAGTGGTGCACCGCAGGGCTCTGTTGGAGAGTCTCGCAGAAGAACTGCCGCCAGGCACAATCCGGTTTTCCTCTAAACTCACTTCAATCACAAGACA